GGGCCAGGGTAACATCTTTCCCTGGGTCCCCGAAGAGGGAACAGGAACCCCCCTTTATGTACCCCTAACAACAAAAATTTTAAAACAACTATCGAAAAAAAGGGGGACAAACCCGAAAGGGATGGAAAAAAGTTTTTTGTGGGCCCCCCAATTTTTTAAAAAAAGGGGACAGACAAAGAAGCCCTTAAACTACAGACCCGTGTCACTGAAAGTACATAAATGCAAAGTCTTTTTTGAAGATTTATCCCCGGAAAAAGTGGTGGGAAAACCCAAAAAGGGAAAGAGCTTTTTTAATGGAAAAAGGCATGGTTTTTAGGGGTGGGAAAACCTTTTACCAAAAACCCACTGGAGTTTTTATGACAAAGGGGGACAGCAGTAAAATAAAGAGAGGGGGGGTAGACTGCATTTTTTTTGGCTGTAAGAAGGCATTTGGGCACAGTTTTCCACACAAAAAATTAATACAAAAGCTGGGAAAACCAGGGAGGGTTTTTAGGGAAAAAGGGACTAAAAATGGATCAGGGAAAAAACCCATCAGGGAAAGACAAAAGCGAAGGGCATGGGAAAAGTGGTGGGTGGGCCGGGTGGGTTTTCTGTGGGCGGGAAAGGGGTTTTCCCCAGGGGTTTATTTCCCAGGGGCCGGGGGCGTTTTTGGTAATTTGTTAATTACATGACAGAAGGAATAGACTCCGAAGTGTTCCTATTTGCAGATGATGTGAAGTTGATGAGAAGAATCCAATCGAACGAGGACCAGGCAGAACTACAAAGGAATCTGGACAGACTGCAGGCCTGGTCCAACAACTGGCTCCTGGAGTTCATTCCCACCAAGTGCAAAGTCATGAAGACTAGGGAAGGGCAAAGACCACAGACAGAGTACAGTGACTACAAACCTCACTAAAGGAAAAAGATCTTGGGGTGAGTATAACACCAAGCACATCTCCTGAGGTCCACATTAACCAAATAACTGCTGCAGCATACGGACATCTAGCAAACCTAAGAACAGCATTCTGACATCTTAATAAGGAATCGTTCAGGACCCTGTACACCGTGCATGTTAGGCCCATACTGGAGTATGCAGCACAAGTTTGGAACCCACACATATCCATGCACGTAAGGAAACTAGAGAAAGTGCAATGGTCTGCAACAAGACTAGTCCCGAACATACCCCTTAGGGTATGTCCTACAAGAAGAGGTTAAGGGAAATCGACCTGATGACACTGGAAGGCATTAAAGATAGAGGGGATGTGATAACATCATATACAATGCTGAGAGGAATCGACAAGGTGGACAGAGATTGAATGTTCTAGAAATGGGACACAGCAACAAGGGGTCACAGTTGGAAGTTGAAGACTCAGATGAATCACAGGGATGTTAGTAAGTATTTCTTCAGTCACAGAGTTGTCAGAAAGTAGAATAGTCTGAGAAGTGATGTAGTGGAGGCAGGATCCATGCATAGCTTTAAGAAGAGGCACGATAAAGCTCATGGAGCACGAAGAGTGACCCAGTAGCGGCAAGTGAAGAAGCAAAGCCAGGAACTGTGACTCGACCCCTGCAACCACAACTAGGTGAGTACATACACACACACAAACACACCACACAAACAAACAAACACACACACACACACACACACACACACACACCACACACACATACACAAACAGAATCCTCAGAGGTTTCCAGAGAGCAAAAGTATAAAATATTTACACAGAAAAACATGCACAACCTATTCAGTATTCCACACATTAACAAGAGTTGCACACACAGAGAAAACATGCAAAAGATATATGTATGAAAAATAAGGCACTACACAACCATACAATTAAAAAAAAAAAAAGCTTAATGCTCTAATATGCAGAGTGGAATGAATACCATGATTTAAACAAGCATTAATGCACAAGTAAGAATGAGAACCAGGTGAACTATACTTTACAAGGCTATAATGTCTCAACAGTTGAAACAAAGACTGCCACTAATGAAAGAGTATAATAAGCAAATAAGCAAGATTTTCAAATTCACCAAGGGCGAACAAAATTTAAAAAAAAATATGAAGTTCTTCAACTATGTGACAGCCATAGATTCATTCTTCAACACCCAACAAGATTTGAGGATACAAATGAAGTGAGTTTTCCCATTTTGATTTATACAATTTTTATTTACTGTTAACTTTATGTGAGCTGCTATGTCACGAGATCTTACTCAACCTCTTTCTTGCTATAGTAAATAGCATGAGCGTAAAGCTGACACAGATTAAAGAGTGACTCACATTATCAATCAATAAGTACAATGTGAATTAACAATTAAAAAGAAACAGAGCAATAAACATTTTTTGAGAAAAAAATTTGATGAATGTACATACTAAAGCATTACTAATTAATGATAAGCAAAAATATCTCATGATTACTAACTTCAAACATTTAAGCAATCTTCTCTTAAAAATAAAATTATACGAGATCAATATTGCAAAAAAAAAAAATTAATAATAATTACAGTATCTTCAGTCATATAAGTCAATTTTTCCCCAGAAACCAGTCCTTCTCGCCCCCCACAAAAAAATAAATAAAAAGGAGTCATGTAACTCATATAAAAAAAAAATGCATTTGAATCCATTTTATATTCATGGAGAAGCACTAATCCAATGAGAGTCTTACAGAGCCAGGGAAATGGGAAGGGTTCGGAGTAATCAAATTTGATCCAAGGAATGAAAAAGTTGCTACAATTTAAAGCCATGAAAGACTTTTGCTACTATTTACAACTGTTGGTGATTATTGTTGGGAATAAAGAGTGCCAACAACCAGAGGGTCACATGAACCAGGTGCTGTAGTTGTTGGTTTAAGAGTCACAATGGGCCAAGGGATCACCGTGTTGCTCCGTGAACAACAAAACCAACAATATATTCCTGTAGCTACTGCATTTTTTTACACCATATGTAACCACTATACCCAGTTGTTTCAGCAATATTTAACACAGGTATGTTGCATATGATATCACTTTGTCAATATAATACAGTGGACCCCCGGTTAACGATTTTAATCCGTGCAAGAGGGGTAATTGTTATGCGAAATAATCGTTATGTGAATGAATTTTCCCCATAAGAAATAATGGAAATAAAATTAATCCGTGCAAGACACCCAAAAGTATGAAAAAAAAATTTTACCACATGAAATACACATTTTCCCACACACAAAGAGAAGGATACATGCACAATAGTAGAGTAGTACATGCACAGTATATATTGTGCATGTACTAGTCTACTAAATGAAGAATAAATGACAGTTACCTTTATTGAAGATGCAGCAATGACTGATGAGACACTGTGTCCTGGGGTGCCTTTTCCTCCTAGTACTGTGGGTCCTTTTTTGGCATTTTCTTCCAAAAAGGGCCTTTTATCACACTGGATCACTACGTTCTTAAATCCTCAAACCAACTTTGTGGTTTTAAAATTTCCCCAATATGAGAAAAGTTCCGGGATTTTCCCTTTTTCCCGGGGTGTTAGTCGACTTGTGTGGGTTGCACCCTGGGGATAAGATTAAGGCCCCCCAATGGAAATAATTAGACAGTTTCGAGACCGCTTTTTTGGGTTACCTGGGTGGCAAATCCTCGGGGGTTAATTTTCTTGGTATTTCAATAAGCCACACCAAAACAACGGTGCTACGCAGCGCAGAGCTGACAGTGCGCAGGCAGGCTGACAGTGCAGCAGCAGACAGTACGGCGCAGCAGCAGCAGCTGTACCACCAATAGTACGATTTTGATTGGGGTTTATTATACAACCTGGCCACTGGGAACATGCACTCCACTTTCTACTTATCATATCTTTTCTTCATCTCTTGTAATTCCCCCCTTTTGCTGTGGGGTTGGCACTAGAAGCTTTTTTGGGGCCCAGGTCACTTATTTTCCAAAAAAGCCCAAAAACACTGTAATAATACAAATTTTCCCGATTGTATGTTGGTTTACCGCGGAGGCTGGCTGGAAAAAAATCCCCCGGGGCGGAACTGTGAGGGCGTCTTGGAAGAAAATCGGTAAGGGTTTTTAAGTCGGATGTGAGCAAAATTTTTCGACAATTAAAGTAATCGGTATGCGAAATAATCGCTATGTGATGCCATCGTTATGCGGGGGTCCACTGTATTTGTGCGAGGAAAGTGGGGAGTGGTGGGGACACCACCCTCCACAACATGCCACCTCCCACTACACCCCTGCCCTCACTACAGTACTCAATGCATCTTATATGACGTAAAATACGGTAATCAGTTTTCATGTATGGATAAACTAAAAATTTGATCAATAATATGTTCACAAAAGAAGAATATACTACATGCAGCCATTTAATCGATACTGACTACAGCTTTTTTCTAATTTAGAGACATTTTTTACAATCTGCCAAAAATCAAAGTTACTGTACATGGGTGTCAAGATGTAGACTATCTACTAAGCTCTCTGGGTACAATACGGAACAAGAGCTACCTCCCTTATGTAACTAAAATACCACATTACTAACTGCAAGAGAAGAAAATAGTAAAGGCAACTACTGTACATAAATAAAACTAGATAACATGATAATATATCACAAAAATACATTCAACCCCTTTGGGTCATTCACTGCTAAGACTTAAAAATAAAAATATTCATTAACAAAACTTGTTAGCAAAGAAGCAAAATATTGAAGGGTGTTTTGGAAGTCAAGGCACAAGCATGCAGAAACATTAAAGTAAAATATGTAAAGGTTTAGTAAGAGCAAATGAGAAGGATGTGAACTGAAACTGATGTTGACGATTACAGAATTGTAGATTTTCTCTGACTTTTGACACACATATTAATCTTGATCTGGTTTCACCCCTTGATGTTTCAGGTCCACTCAAGAGAATTCTTGATCTTACTTCATGGCACCAACCTTGAATTTCATCCATCTGTTTTGTTAAAATCATATTCAATCTCTTGTGTTATTTTAAAGAAGCTAGACATTTTCTTATCATATGTATTTCTCATCAGCACAGCGACAATCTTCTTACCTGATTTTGTAAGCCCACCAACAGCATAAATAAGTCCAACAATATCATTACAGCACCGTGGTCTTGTTCGAAAGCTCTGGAGGAGGGGTCGCCTTTCTGGCATTAGGTGATAATCTTTAGCCTCGTCTAACAAATCTCTGGAGAAGAAATAAACCTTGCTACTCTATACACCAATTAAACACACCAGCAATATACACCTACCATCCGACTTACGACTGAGTTCGGTTCCAAGAAACCAGTCGTAAGTCGAAATGGTCGTAAGTCGAATTTTACTACTGAATATCAACAAAACATTTTGTAATGACTTTATTTTATTGTTTTATTTGTTATTTCATGTTTTACTTTACTTTTTATGCTGTTAGTACTGTATTTTATACTGTATGGTTTAGGATAAACACTGTGTACAACACACATAGTTGTTTATTTCCCAGAAATTTGGCATAAAAAACACGGTCGTAAGTCGAGCAGGTTGTAAGTCGAATGATAGGTGTATACTAAAAATAATTAATTAGTATTATCATCATAGGGAAGTACAAAACCCTAAGGGGTCATACAGTGCATGAAAATGGCTTGTAATCAGATCTGATCCTAAGAAAAGGAGGCTATCTCTAATTCCTTATACATATACAAGACCCTTTGCCAACATCGAGGCACCTCTGGTGAAAGGTCAAAAAAATCAATAACTACATACCTGCATTCATGTGATGATCTGATTAAGTTTTCAGTAGCAACACGGTCTGTCAGGTACTGTGGGGTTAGCAATGGCATGCGGACTTTTGTTAACAACTCAGGCAAGTTGTGACCTCGTTGGTCTAGGTCTCGCTTTGTCCACGCCATGACAGACTCGAATACCTGTTAAAATTTATTTTCTCTGTTATGTGTGTTTAAGAAAGTTTATAAAAGAGATTTAGTTCAACACTGAAAATCTAACAGGATTGAGGACAAGACTTCTCTGAAATATTACAAATTCTCAGTAAAAAAAAAATAACACAACTTATGGTATAAATAGGATAATCATCAAATGCTGAATGTGGTGTTATGTTGAATATTTTCCTATTTACATTTTGTACACCTGTTTACACCTCTAGACATCAGTACTATTTTAAAATACCAATAACTAGAGAGCACACCAAGATTCCAACCGCAAGAATATAGATGTCTGTACATTCAGTATCTTCTAATTTTACATGCATATCTCCAACACCTACTACAAGCACTGAGGCAGGAAGTAGTAACATCACAGACAACTCATCTGTGCGAACTCTCACACTCATGAATCTATCTCTTAAGTTACCTGCATCATTTGTTGGTTAATTATGTATGATGTATTTTGTATAAAAGATACTATAGCATTACAACTGGAAATTAAATAAGCTCTTATTCAGTACTACCTTGGTCTGCACAAATGTATGTTTTGGCATGCACCAAAAAAAAAAACAAAAAAAAAAAAACAGTTTTGATAAAGAGCAGAAATTTTCAAAGTGCCCACCATATGGCTGGGCAGCTGCATAGTGCTGTAGATGCTAGCTCAGTGCACTGAAAAGTGACTACTTCTGTCCACACAAATTTTATTCAACGTTTTCTCTGAGTTTTGACAGAACCTGAATATTTCAAATATTCCTGAATATTTCAAATATTCCTGAATATTTCAAAAATTAGTTAGCCTGTCTACTACTGATGGGATTATCCATAAGCTACAGGAGGAAATTCAAACTCAAGGTGTCATGTCTTTGGTATTTAATCTATTGTAAAGTTTTTAAAGTTTAGATTGGCTGTAGAATTTTCACCTCTTGTACAGCTAGTCTTTTGAACACAAAATGAAGGCTTTGGTCTTGTAGGTGCTACCCAGAGTTTAAACCAGAGGTTCTTAACCTTTTTATGATCAGACACACCCAATGGATTGTCCAATGTCCCCATACCCCTTTCCCAGACTGTCGAAATCATCTTCACCATCACCAGTCCTATTAGGTACCAGCATGACTTCAAAAGATGTCAACAGCTTGGTTTACTTAACATATGGATAACTAGGAAAATAACAGCTAATAGTTTATTCTCTTCTAACAACAACTTTTCTTAAAAACTGTTTAGAAATGCTAAACTCACTAGGTTTAAGGTACCCATCTGCTCTCGCATTCATCCTTTTAATTACCTATATACACTGTATTCAGATTTTCAACAATAAATAATGCAGTACTGTACAAGATTTTTTACAACTTATTTGACTGATATTCATCAGTCTTATGGTGATATCACCATGATTAACACATTTAAAGATGGGGTTATAAAATCAATGAATGTTTGGGTGCTGAGGAGAGGTGTGGGATTAAAAGATAATAAATCTGGGAGTTGTCACAGTTCCTCTTTGCTTATGACAAGGTTCTTTTGGGAGATTCTGAAGAGAAGTTGCAATGGTTAGTGGGTGTTGGAAGGGTATGTAAAAGAAGGAAATTAAAAGTGAATATATCAAAGAGCAAGGCAATGAGACTAACAAAAACTCAAGGAAGGGAAAGATTGGATATTGGATTGAAAGGAGGGAGTATGGAAGAAGTAAATGTATTCAGATACTGTGTTTGGGAGTGGAAACATCAGTAGAAGAGTCCATGAAAGGTGCAGTGAACCACAGAACAGATGAGGGGAGGGGGAGGAGGGAAAGTACAATAGATGGATGCTGAGGCATCTGCAGAAAGAAATAAGTTTATCCATGGTGGCAAAAAAGGAGAGTATACCAGAGAATAATGATACCAACACTTTCACTTGGGTGTGAGCCATGGGCTTCAAATGCTGCAACAAGAAACAAGCTGGAGGCAGTGACGCTGTCAAGTTTGAAAGCAGTGTGTGGTGAGTATATTATGGCGAGAATAAGGAGTATGGGGTTAAAACATGGTGTATAGCTACCAATAATATACCGTATTTCGCGGCTTATTAGACACGTTTTTTCCATAAAACATCTCCAAAAACCACCCTGTGTCCTATAAACTGAAGTCAGTGATGAGAACTATAAGTTTGGGGTGTGGGGTGGGTTGTTCTCCCAGTTATGTCCGATGCCGAGTCATTGAAATTAAAACAAGTCTTATAAGCCATGAAATACGGTAATTCAGAGCTGAGAAGGGATTGTCGAGGTGATTTTGGCATATAGGGAAGATAAAGCATAACAGGGTGACTAAGATGGTACATAAATCTGGGATTAAAGGAAGGAGGAGAAAGAAATTGTTCTAGGAGGGGTTGGAGGAAGGGGGTAGAGGAGGCTTTGAGCACTGGGGGTTTGAACATCCAACAGGCTTATGCGAGAATGTTAGACTGAAATGAGTGAAGACGAGTGGCTTTTTATAACTTAATATGGTGCTACAGTGCAAACAAGGTAACATTTATGAAGGGATTTAGGAAAACCAGTTAGCCAAACTTGAGTCCTGGAGGTGGGAAGTACAGTTTCTGTACTATAGGAGAAGGGTAAGAAAGAGTGCAGCTCAGGGGGGTCATCAGAACTGTGATGTCAGCATACTTCTGGAGGGGCAGCAACTGAATGAATGCTAGTAAATATGTTTCTTTTTTTTTTTTTTCTTTTGAGGTCACCCTACATGTACTTCAGTGGGAGATGGGCAGCATGTTAAAAAAAAAAAAAAAAAATTATTGCAACTTTCTTCCTCTGATTCAATTATATTTTATCAATTTTCATGTTTTTCATACGAGGCTTAGATAGCTCTTTACAGATTTGAAATGGAGATCTGGTTTCAACTTACCCTTATCAACTATGTTTTTTTTTATTTATGGATTGTTTTTTTTTTTTTTTTTTTTTTTTTTCAACAAGTCGGCCGTCTCCCACCGAGGCAGGGTGACCCAAAAAAGAAAGAAAATCCCCAAAAAGAAAATACTTTCATCATTCAACACTTTCACCACATTCACACATTATCACTGTTTTTGCAGAGGTGCTCAGAATACAACAGTTTAGAAGCATATACGTATAAAGATACACAACATATCCCTCCAAACTGCCAATATCCCAAACCCCTCCTTTAAAGTGCAGGCATTGTACTTCCCATTTCCAGGACTCAAGTCCGACTATATGAAAATAACTGGTTTCCCTGAATCCCTTCACTAAATATTACCCTGCTTACAGTCCAACAGATCGTCAGGTCCCAAGTATCATTCGTCTCCATTCACTCCTATCTAACACGCTCATGCACGCTTGCTGGAAGTCCAAGCCCCTCGCCACAAAACCTCCTTTAACCCCCTCTTTCGAACCCTTTCGAGGACGACCCCTACCCCTCCTTCCTTCCCCTATAGATTATATGCTTTCCATGTCATTCTACTTTGATCCATTCTCTCTAAATGACCAAACCACCTCAACAACCCCTCTTCTGCCCTCTGACTAATGCTTTTTATTTAAATCCACACCTTCTCCTAATTTCCACACTCCGAATTTTCTGCATAATATTTACACCACACATTGCCCTTAGACAGGACATCTCCACTGCCTCCAACCGTCTCCTCGCTGCTGCATTTACCACCCAAGCTTCACATCCATATAAGAGTGTTGGTACTACTATACTTTCATACATTCCCTTCTTTGCCTCCATAGATAACGTTTTTTGACTCCACATATACCTCAATGCACCACTCACCTTTTTTCCCTCATCAATTCTATGATTAACCTCATCCTTCATAAATCCATCCGCCGACACGTCAACTCCCAAGTATCTGAAAACATTCACTTCTTCCATACTCCTCCTCACCAATTTGATATCCAATTTTTCTTTATCTAAATCATTTGATACCCTCATCACCTTACTCTTTTCTATGTTCACTTTCAACTTTCTACCTTTACACACATTCTCAAACTCATCCACTAACCTTTGCAATTTTTCTTTAGAATCTCCCATAAGCACAGTATCATCAGCAAAAAGTAACTGTGTCAATTCCCATTTTGAATTTGATTCCCATAATTTAACCCCACCCCTCTCCCGAACACCCTAGCATTTACTTCTTTTACAACCCCATCTATAAATATATTAAAAAAACCATGGTGACATTACACATCCCTGTCTAAGACCTACTTTTACCGGGAAGTATTTTCCCTCTCTTCTACACACCCTAACCTGAGCCTCACTATCCTCATAAAAACTCTTAACAGCATTTAGTAACTTACCACCTATTCCATATACCTGCAACATCTGCCACATTGCTCCTCTATCCACTCTATCATATGCCTTTTCTAAATCCATAAATGCAATAAAAACTTCCCTACCTTTATCTATGCTTCAATGTAAACACTTGATCTACACATCCCCTACCCACTCTGAAGCCTCCCTGCTCATCCGCAATCCTACATTCTGTCTTACCTCTAATTCTTTCAATTATAACCCTACCGTATACTTTTCCTGGTATACTCAATAAACTTATTCCTCTATAATTTTTACAATCTCTTTTGTCCCCTTTCCCTTTATATAAAGGGACTATACATGCTCTCTGCCAATCCCTAGGTACTTTCCCCTCTTTCATACATTTATTAAACAAAAGTACCAACCACTCCAACACTATATCCCCCCTGCTTTTAACATTTCTGTCATGATCCCATCAGTTCTAGCTGCTTTACCCCCTTTCATTCTACGTAATGCCTCACGTACTTCCACCACACTTACATTCTGCTCTTCTTCACTCCTAAAAGATGGTATACCTCCCTGGCCAGTGCATGAAATTACCACCTCCCTTTCTTCCTCAACATTTAAAAGTTCCTCAAAATATTCTCGCCATCTACCTAATACCTCCCTTTCCCCATCTACTAATTCCCCTACTCTGTTTTTAACTGACAAATCCATACTTTCCCTAGGCTTTCTTAACTTGTTTAACTCACTCCAAAAATTTTTTCTTATTTTCATTAAAATTTCTTGACAGTGCCTCTCCCACTCTATCATCTGCTCTCCTTTTGCACTCTCTCACCACTCTCTTCACCTTTCTTTTACTCTCCATATACTCTGCTCTTCTTATAACACTTCTGCTTTGTAAAAACCTCTCATAAGCTACCTTTTTCTCTCTTATCACACCCTTTACTTCATTCCACCAGTCACTCCTCTTTCCTCCTGCCCCCTCCCTCCTATAACCACAAACTTCTGCCCCACATTCTAATACTGCATTTTTAAAACTATTCCAACCCCCCCACTACTCATCTTTGGATTGATATACATAATTTTTAATTACTTTCAAGACACGAATTACTTTCAACATTAGTTCCATGTTTTCATGACTTTCTATTATTATTGAACCATTTTATTTGCTTCTTTGTTTTTAACTGCTTCATTAATTTGTTATATATGCTCCAGAACTTATGAAATTACCTACACCAATTCATATGACATACAGCAACTACAATTGCTCTAATCATTTCTGAATGATTTTCATTTTCCTTCTTTTGTATTTTTCAGGATTTAAGGATATAAATTAGTAATGTGATTCAAGCAAGTATTCATGTGGAGCGGCTGATACTGATTACCTTAAAAGCTCAGAAATACAAAAAAATATTTAAATGAATTGAAAAGGATGGCATAATCAAAGCAAAACACATTAAAAAAGTATAAGTACGTAAAGAGTTATTATATGGAGAACAGAGGAAAAACCAACACCAAAAAAGTTCTTTTATGCATCATCATTTATCTTTTTGATAACATCATAAATTTAGCTAAATGTCTGCTAATTTGGCAGTATAAAGAAATGGATACTTACACTTTCTTCACTTTGCACATTAAGTTCATCACGGGAGATAATTTCTCTTACATCTGAAAAGGATAGATTCAGGAACTCCTCAGATACAGAGACTTCAACGAAGTGTTTTTGAAGATAACGATTACTGGCTTCCACTAATGACCAGCAAGCCAATGTGTCGGCAAATGTTCTAATTCCTAAAACATTGTGTGGGTGTAACCTGTAACAATACAAAATAAAAATTGTAACAAAACTAATAGAGCTAATATGAATTATAACAGATTCTCCTAAGAAAAGCTAACAGAAAAATTAAAGAATGTAATACAAATTAGTAGGAAAAGTAATGTGTAGCATCTAGAAAAGACGAGGTGAAGCAAAAACCATCCCATATGTGCTTGCTTTATATAAGAGTAGTGTATGGCGGGATTTACATGCATATTCACAAAGCTATTATCTCAGGTTATGATTTTCCAAAGAAATACTTATTTTCCCATGATCTCAAAACAGCCTGGGTCACAATTCATGACCTATAGGTCAGAATGAGCTGACATAAGATGAGATCAGAGCATATGATAACCTTGGATTACAGACATAAGGTCAGAGCATAGGATAACCTTGAACAACAAATTGTAAGAGATTTCAAGATGGGAGGATGCTAAATCACAAAACTTTTCGTTATCTTGTTCTAGAACTCCCCGGTCACTAGCCATAAGCGTTAAGCAACACTTGGGAGTGGAAAGGAATCAGGTTTGATCCAAGGAAAGGAAGGGTAACTCCAATTAGATCAAGAGCTCTTCACCATCATCAAGACACCCTTTCATGAAGGTTTCAGTATCTTATAACTTAGAGGGGTCAACTGGTTTTCTCCTCATATGGTTTGAAATGTTAAGGTGACACTAGGAATAATTCTATAAAGATTGTCCCTGCATATTAATACACCCCTCAAAAGATATTTAATTCAAAAACTAAAAATTCATCCCCCAAAAAAATCACCTAAAAGTACTTATGCATAATTCAGGTCTCAAGAAATGTGCATTCCAATTTGAAGGAAAAAAATATTGATTCATTACTACAATGTTGTTCCAGAAGTGATCCAAAGATGAAAAAATAAAATTCTCTAACATCAGCCAAGGCATCATTGGAAGGAACAGTGCAAAACAATATGCTTAAACTTGAAGGAACTTGGATAAGGTCTTTCCAAGAGATCCAGTAGTAATAACCCAGAGATCCAGTAGTAATATCCAAGAGATCCAGTAGTAACAACCAAGAGATTCAGTAGTAATAACCAAGAGATCCAGTAGTAATTACCAAGAAATCTAGTAGTAATTACCAAAAGATGCAGGAGTAATTACCAAGAGATCCAGTAGTAATTACCAAGAGATCCAGTAGTAATTACCAAGAGATCCAGTAGTAATTACCAAGAAATCTAGTAGTAATTAACAAAAGATGCAGGAGTAATTACCAAGAGATCCAGTAGTAATTACCAAGAGATCCAGTAGTAATTACCAAGAGATCCAATAGTAATTACCAAGAAATCTAGTAGTAATTACCAAGAGATCCAGAAGTAATTACCAAGAAATCTAGTAGTAATTACCAAGAGATCCAGAAGTAATTACCAAGAGATCCAGTAGTAATTACCAAGAAATCTAGTAGTAATTACCAAGAGATCCAGTAGTAATTACCAAGAGATCCAGTAGTAATTACCAAGAGATCCAGTAGTAATTACCAAAAAATCTAGTAGTAATTACCAAGAGATCCAGAAGTAATTACCAAGAAATCTAGTAGTAATTACCAAGAGATCCAGAAGTAATTACCAAGAGATCCAGTAGTAATTACCAAGAAATCTAGTAGTAATTACCAAGAGATCCAGAAGTAATTACCAAGAGATCCAGTAGTAATTACCAAGAAATCTAGTAGTAATTACCAAGAGATCCAGTAGTAATTACCAAGAAATCTAGTAGTAATTACCAAGAGATCCAGTAGTAATTACCAAGAAATCTAGTAGTAATTACCAAGAGATCCAGTAGTAATTACCAAGAAATCTAGTAGTAATTACCAAGAGATCCAGAAGTAATAAGTACATATTAATACAAAAAAATTAATATTAAATAGCATGATAAAAAATTTATATATATGGCAGTTTGGAGGGATATGTTGTGTATCTTTATATGTGTATGCTTCTAATCTGTTGTATTCTGAGCACCTCTGCAAAAACAGTGATAATGTGCGAGTGTGGTGAAAGTGTTGAATGATGATGAAAGTATTTTCTTTTTTGGGGATTTTCTTTCTTTTTTGGGTCACCCTGCCTCGGTGGGAAACGGCCAACTTGTTGAAAAAAAAAAAAAAAAAAAACAGAAATAAGAGGGATACAAACTATAAAGAATAAGATTACATTGCTGTACAATATTCACTGACAAAAAAAAATGATGTGCAAAAATAAAGCACAACTACCAATAAGTTTATTCATAATGAAATATACTGTAAAATATATGGTGTATAAACACAGCAATGTCAGTCTTTAGCAGTTAATGTAATAATCAATGCTACACCAGATACACACTACAAACATTAAAAAATTTTGTTCAGATGCATTACAAGTATATATAGTACAGTCTAGGTAGTAGGTTGGTAGACAGCAACCGCCCAGGGAGGTACTACCGTCCTGCCAAGTGAGTGTAAAACAAAAACCTGTAACTGTTTTACATGATGGTAGGATTGCTGGTGTCATTTTTTCTGTCTCATAAACATGCAAGATTTCAGGTATGTCTTGCTACTTCTACTTACACTTAGGTCACACTACACATACATGTACAAATATATATATATACATATATATACACACCCCTCTGGGTTTTCTTCTATTTTCTTTCTAGTTCTTGTTCTTGTTTATTTCCTCTTATCTCCATGGGAAAGTGGAACAGAATTCTTCCTCCGTAAGCCATGCGTGTTGTAAGAGGCAACTAAAATGCCGGGAGCAAGGGGCTAGTAACCCCTTCTCCTGTATATATTACTAAATGTAAAAGGAGAAACTTCGTTTTTCCTTTTGGGCCACCCCGCCTCGGTGGGATACGGCCGGTGTGTTGAAAGAAAGATTTGTAGCTTTCTGGTACAACATGGCATTTTAGGCTAATTCACTTTAAGTGAATTTATTATGGTAGTTATCAAAGGACATGGTTCATAATAAGTACATACAATATAAGGAAACGGGTTGTTAACTGGAAAACAAAAAATCATTGACTAATCTGAAGTACATTAACTCCAAATGTCTTTTAGAAGTTTTGTTTTATTTCCTGAGGACTTATTAGAACTTAGAATCCTAGAATTTGAGAGTACATTTTTCAAGTACAGTAATTTTAAAGTTTTCTTTTATTTATTTATTTTTGTTCGAGTTATAGGCTTGTGTGTACCCTTTAACCCTCTGACTGTCGCGGCCATATATATACGTCTTACGAGGTACCGTGTTTGACGTATATATACTCATAAATTCTAACGGCTTCAAATCAAGCAGGAGAAAGCTGGTAGGCCCACATGTGAGAGAATGGGTCTGTGTGGTCAGTGTGCACCATATAAAAAAAATCCTGGAGCACGCAGTGCATAATGAGAAAAAAAAAACTCCGACCGTTTTTTTTTTAATTAAAATGCTGACTTTGTGGTCTATTTTCGTATAGTATTTATGGTTGTATTCTCGTTTTCTTGGTCTCATTTGATAGAATGGAAAACATATTACAGAAATAGAGGTGATTTTGATTGATTTTACTATAAAAAGAACCTAGAAATGGAGCTCAAAGTAGGGGAAATGTTTGATTTTTGCCAATGTTCAAAAGTAAACAAATGATGCCTTGTCCAATAAATGTCCAACTAGCCATTCTAATATGCAGTCATGAATGGGTTTATGTTATTTATACAATTATTACAGTATTCCAGTAGTCTGCATAATAGTAAGTCTTCTATTTTTTGTTTGAATAAAAATTCAAAATAGAAAGCAAGAGTAATATCAGAGGGGCCTGGAGATGTGACTGATGAACAAAGAAAATGTTATTTTAGAGCCAGGAATGTCTGCATTGTTCATTCTAGACCTTATTTTGAAATTGTCATATTTTCATGAAATTGGCAAATTGCAAATTTCTGACCACATTATTAGGTAGTTGAAATCGGTAAATGGGCAGTTTCTTGTACTCAGTTGATAGAAAAAATGGAGTTCTAAATAAATAGCTATGAGTTTGGGCGACTGGAACAATGGAATTAGCCGAAAAAAGGGCTCAAAGTGGGCGAAATCGCCGATTTGTAAACAGCGCCGAGGTCGCTAACTTCACGAGAGCATAATTCCGTCAGTTTTCCATCAAATTTCGTTTTTTTGGTGTCATTACAATCGGGAAAAGGTTCTCTATCATTTCATAAGAAAAAATCATTTTTTTTTTTTTAAATTTTGCGACACCAGGAGACACCTCAGGATTGGGGGTTGCGACAGTCAAAGGGTTAATTATATTGATCAATTCTGCACTTTCTCTCCTTAATATTTAGAAAATTTAAGTGAGCCAAGATCTTTAACTTTTCCAGTGATTTGCTTGGCTATCAATTTTATTGCAAAAGTTTTGGGCCTTCTACTAAAAGCTGGTCTTTCCTGTACTCATGTTCTTTATATTGTATAGTTTGTTTATCAGTTTATAATTCTTACTGCTATGGTAATATTTACTGAGGATTTATTGTAAACTTTTTCTTTAATTCTTGATTCTAATGGTGCTTTTAAAAGCATTGGAAATAAGGTAGGATAGTGGTCAATTTTGAAGTGTGAACATAACTAGAAAATAGAACCACAGAATAAAGTACTTCCTGAGTAGTAAAAGCTAACCTGTGTTACTTCCTTTAACTGACCTCATAACCTAGCTTCATTGAATAACAAAGTGGCAATCTTTCACAAAACAAATGACCAAAATCAACATTGCTCACCTGTGTTTGAGAAAGTCTGCACATGCTTCTCGTACTTTAGAGAGCTGAAGGAATGATGCCCCTACCAATAAACTTTGTACATTAGCACCATCAATCTTGACTTTTCCAGAATAGGCAAAATTGATTAGAGATTCCAGGGCACTGTAAATACAAATATTATGAATAAATTTCATATATGAACAGAGGTTTAAATAAATCATCATCATCATTACAGTGTTCCTCTACTTCAAGGGACAAAGTTATATTCTTCAGAGAATAAAAAAATGATTTTAAGATGATTAAATATTCACTTGGACCCTGCTGTTACCACACTGCAACTTAAAAATCAGTAAATTTATTTTTTTCAATTTGATTCTCCAGGGATGTGGACATGAATGTTATACAGCAACATCATGGAATCTTGGTACAACCTTCTTGCCTACTCCTGGCCCCTTCCTTGGGTATGACCTACTTCCACTGGGAAATCCCACCTACCAGTGAAAATGCCTTCACCTGCTGTGCCTCCCTTATCTTATGCCAGTACATAAGTGCCAATCTTCCTGCCCGTGCTTCAGATTCTTCAAGACTATGGTACTCGTTACCAACTCCAAGGCTGAGAGACTGATTACCTCATCTTTTGTATATAGTTCGTCTTCACATAATGTCCTTGAAATGTAGTGATAAAGCCACTGGATGGCAAAAAAAATCTACAAATAAAGATACCCAAATGTTGTATGTGTGTCTAAGTCTTCATTCTCTAGGGGTTATGTATAGCTCAGCCTAAGCACCATGATCTGAGGGATGACAAAACACACACATTTTCTGGATGGCTACCAGATCTCTTAAGATAAGAAAAGATATTTTATTTGTACAGAGGTCAATGACATTTCATACCACGGGCGGGATTTGAACCCACGGTCAGAGAGTCTCAAAACTCCCGACCATCGCATTAGCCACTGGACCAGTGAGTCAATGACATTTAAATGTGCATGTAGAAAGCCCCTTAATATGCAGAGTATTTTGAGTAAACTTAAAACTTGAAATTAATAAGGAAATGACAAACTTGAGTATTTTTATATACATTTAGAAGTTACAATGAATACAAGAAAATTAAATATCCTATTAGTACAGATTCACATCCCTTTATCCAAAATTCTGAAATTCAATAAGTTCCGAAAACTGAAGTTATTTCATGGAGTGTGGAGCGCCAGTCATCTCCATGCTGGGTCATGCCACCATGTGGTGGCATTGAGAATCATTGTGAAATTCAAAAAAGTCTGAAATTTGAAACAATACAGGCCTCACAGGTTCCATATAAAGGGATGTGCACCGGTACATGCTATATGTGTTTTATCAAGTTTAACTGCTTGTAGAATTACAGGTTTGATTATGATCACAAGTAATGAGGATTCTAGCATATTAGCATAATGGGGACACAATGTTTTAATGGTTGTGAGGATTACAGATATTAAGAATAAGATTATACAGTTTTTCAATATGTCTGTGACAATGAGAATATGGATATATAGTTGTCACATATTTAGCTGATGTTATAATATGTTAGGGAGAGGTGTTTTTGAATGGTAGTTTTGAAGATGCCAGCCGAGATGATGGCTTTGGAGATTTCCGGCAGTTTTTTCCAGATTTTGGGCCCTTTTATGTACAATGAATTTTTAGGGATTTAGCCACCAGTTTTCCCCACTGCCACCTTGCTGACAAAAAGTTTGCTGACATTATGCAGATATGCCCTCTCTTGATCCAGTATCAATTCTACACAGTTTATGCCTGTGACTGAGATAGAAGTCACACATGTAAAAGGTGTAAGAAAAAGCCCTAAGCCACTAATCACTGAACCTTATCTATTAATATCAGTTAAGGGTTACAAGGATCACTTTCTCTATAACCTGGTCTCAGACCAGACCTAAATTAGAGAAAATATTACAGCGACAAGTGTATGTGGGATATGAAATTTATCCGGTTTTAAAATTTTAGATCATTATTATTTCCTTAATAATCCACCAAGTTATTAAACAAAGTTTTTTTTGAACCAGATCAATCTGACTAGGTCACACAAGCTGTCCCTACCTGCCAGCCAGTGTTCAGTCACATCATGTGTCATATTGATGATGCATGGGTAATGAGAGCCTTTCACAACTTCTTGAAGAGGTGGGGTATGGGAGAGTTATTTTGACAGGTCTAGGGTGGAGAAAACATAGAAGCAAAGTCTATATAAAGGGGCACAAGCATGTAGCTCGCCCTACTTAGCTGATGGTCTCATTGGCCTCATGACTTAGGCATGGCTCTGGAATTCAGAGTAAGACTGCTGTTTGTAGGCCTTTAGTACCTGACCTCTATATTTTGCCTGTTCTGATAAGGTTTATTACTAAAGTGCTGGTGTGTGTGTTCCTATAATTGGCATACTTATTTTTTAATAATAATGACATGAAAAAGACCTTGTATTCATTTTCTTCCCCTCCTATAACATTCCTAAAATGTGTATGTCTTCAGAAACAACATGGGTCTAAACATTTTGAGGTAGCTTTAAAGAAGTAAGAAAGGTTCTGGCCCTCTAGACCAACCCTAGAGGTGGCAGTCTTTGTAACTAAAATTAGAAGCATGACCATATGGTGTTAGAGGTGTGTGGTCTTAGCTACACTTACAGGTAGGTAGAGAGGCATTTTTGAGATTTGAGGAGTGTTTTGACCTGGTTATCACTTAGTGTTCTTGGCAACAAAATACAGCAAGTCTATGAACATCTAAGGTAAAATTAACAATATAAAAAACTACTAGTGTGAATAAAACAAACACAAATAAATACACCAGAGGTCAGAATTTACTGCTGACTATCTGATCAACCAGGTTTTTGTTGCCAGCAGCCCAGATCTACATTGCTATCACAGCCTGACTACTCCAACACTGCAAGTAGTCTACCTTCCTCTTAAAAACTTCTACTTTTGTTCTGTTACTATTACTTTAAAGCATCTGCAAGAACTAGAAGTTTGAGGTCTCTTGAACAACATATGCCGACATAGAATTCTCTATTTGTACTTAACCCTTAAACCGTCCAAACAGATCTATGTTCACATGAGTAGTGCTCCAAAAGTAGATCTACGTTTTTTTACATATTTTCAAATATAACAAAAAAAACGTAGATCAAAGTTTTTTACACGTTTTCAAATGTAAAAAAACAAAAAGAAGCTTTACGTTTTTTAACATACTTTCCAATGTTGAAAAAACGTAGATCTACGTTTGGACAGTTTAAGGGTTAAGGTATACAGTCTTGCTTTTCGCTGGGTTTATACCTGTAAGTGGACATTGAACTGCAAGATCTGGAAAATGTGACTAGTAGTACATCAGGTGACAAGCTTGATACCTGTATTTCCATGGCTGTATAATTGACATTCACTCAGATATATTCTACTTCAACACCAGACGACACTGAAATACTCTACATTATATGTATTTATGTAAACAGCAAGGGGGTTAAAAGAGCAACTACAGTATGTATTGCCAAATACTATACCTATTATTTTTTATGTGCAGTACCAATCTGTATATTACAGACAGTTTGGTATTTCTTCATTTTAATGTGGGGGCAAGTGCTAAACTGTAGGGGCTATATAGTGTTTGGGAAATGGGAGGCATTAAAGTTCCACCCAAGGAAGGGGACCAATTGATGCCCCTCACCAGCATCAAGGCACCTCCCTTGAGGGGACAGTTTGGTAGATTCAGAGTTCCTGGCCTCAACATATCCAAATCAGAGGGGATGCAGTGTGAAAGAATTACATACAGACATTCCTACACTAATGAACATGTTGGGTTCCTGAAGTTTTTATGCATGTAGCTCAGCTGTTCAGAACTCAGAACCTGGCATACTCTTACATTTACATGAAAATATTAATGTTTACCCTGCATTTAACAATTGATATTCAATATGTATAAATGTACAGGACATGTAATTGCCAATTACATTTAGAGTTGCAGCATCATCAACATAAGCAAAATATGTAATTCTGTGCAAGTACAGGTGCTGGATTAGTCTGCACTTGGTCTTGATGCATTAAAAATAAGTAAATACTGACTGCCTTCACACACAACATACCTGAACCTAGAGTAGGAGCGTTCAAATATTTTGAAGGTTTGGAAACCTCATTTTAGAATATATTACTATACTAATATAATGCAGAGAATTCATAGTTTGGAAGTTAGGAGGAGGTGCGGGATTACCAAAACTGTTGTCCAGAGGGCTGAGGAAGGGTTGTTGAGGTGGTTCGGACATGTAGAGAGAATGGAGCGAAACAGAATGACTTCAAGAGTGTATCAGTCTGTAGTGGAAGGAAGGCGGGGTAGGGGTCGGCCTAGGAAAGGTTGGAGGGAGGGGGTAAAGGAGGTTTTGTGTGGGAGGGCTTGGACTTCCAGCAGGCGTGCGTGAGCGTGTTTGATAGGAGTGAACGGAGACGAATGGTTTTTAATACTTGACGTGCTGTTGGAGTGTGAGCAAAGTAACATTTATGAAGGGGTTCAGGGAAATCGGCAGGCCGGACTTGAGTCCTGGAGATGGGAAGTACAGTGCCTGCACTCTGAAGGAGGGGTGTTAATGTTGCAGTTTAAAAACTGTAGTGTAAAGCACCCTTCTGGCAAGACAGTGATGGAGTGAATGATGGTGAAAGTTTTTCTTTTTCGGGCCACCCTGCCTTGGTGGGAATCGGCCAGTGATAATAAAATAAAATAATAAATACTATACTAAAGCTTATCCAAGAAGTAAAGCATTAATGATACAGTGGAACCTCGGTTTTCGTTTGCCCTGGTTTTCGTCGAATTCGGTTTTCAACGGCTTTTTTCGTCAAAATTTTGTCCCAGTTTTCATTCATCACCTCGGTTTTTGTCGAGTTGACAGTGGCCTGCTGTACCGAATGTGTCCGCCCACGCCCACACAAAGCATCCTACACGTTCTGAGTCAGTCTGGCTTTGTTTCTCGTCGGTAGAGGGTGGTAGTGATGGTGGTAGTGAGGGTGGTAGTGATTGTGGTAGAGGGTGGTAGTGAATGTGGTAGAGGGTGGTAGTGATAGTGGTAGAGATAACCTCTCCTCCTTCTCCCCTCCTTGCTGTCTTCCATACACCAACAAGTCTTCAGTAAAGGTAAAGTGATGTTAAATGTTCATTTATCCATTTCATTAGTTCTTTATATTTATTTCTCATTATTTTCTGTATGTAAAACTATAGTTATTCTCTATAAAATGTAATTTTTGTTAATACTTTTGGGTGTCTGGAACAGATTATTTAGATTTACATTACTTCTTAAGGGAAATATTGCTTCAGTTTTCGTCGAATTTGGTTTTCGTCAGACTTTCTGGAATGAATTATTGACAAAAACCAAGGTTCCACTGTACAAGACAAATGGTAAAAATGCAAAACTTGTACTCACTTCAATTTTTACATAAAAATTATTATTCACATTAAAATATAAATACTGTATGTCTCAAGGACCTTCAGCCATGCCTTTTTCTATACTGTCAGTCACTCCCATTAGAAAAAACAAATAAATCAAATGAAGACTAGACAAATAATCTCGCCTCTCTCTTTCTCCGTGTCTCATGAAAGATCACACGGACAACTAACAAGCTTATGGAGAAACCTTAGGGTTCTGCTGATAACTCCTGACCTAGGCATTTAGCAACTGCCATTCTATTTATTTGTTAGTAAAGACAAAGAGGGTGCATGTGTAAATAACCCTATTGTAATTCAAAAATTCTTAATATATCCCTTAACAATTAAACCCAAAGGAAAACTCAAATACAACACATCAAATTCATGCCCCTCTACACAGGTACTGGTACTGGTACTGCTGCTGCTGCTGCTGCTGCTGCTGCTGCTGTTACTACTACTACTACTACATGCATTATTTAAATAACATCCTCCATTCAACAGAAAAAATGCAAAGCCATATGCAAATCATTTAATATTTGACAATGAAAATTTTTATTTCTAGATACATACTTACCTAGGATCTATTCCTTGCATAGTTATTTCCTTTTGTTTACTCTCAGCCATGTCATGAGTAAACATGGCATTGAAGTAAGGTATGACAGCAGCCAAAACTATTCTGTGAGCTGAAAAACACTGGTCATCTACCTGAAAATATGCAATTACAGATGGTTATCATAACCTTTCAAAAAAAGAAATGGAATAAAACACACAAATAACCCGTACATAGGAGAAACTTAAGATAACGTTTTGGTCCAACTTGGACCACTAACTAGTCACACACTAACACACAAAGGTAAGGAAGCCAATATATATGCTGTTAGTTATAAATTTCTTTTCCCTGTGTACATATTATTTGTGTATTGTTGCTGTCATGGTATTGTGCCTTTTTGATTATAAGAAAACAGTTTTCATCAGCTCTAGGCAAGATCTAAGGAAGAAGTTATTTAAACATTATTAAAGAGAACAGACATAACAAAAAATACATAGCAATTAGAATGATTTATTAAGACATGAAAACAAGAGATATTAATTATGAATGAAGAGAGGACAGCAACTCTTTAGTTCATATTTATATGAACCATCATTTTTATTTAACTCCATTGATAGTGGCTGTGATTATGGCAGTGACTATGGTTTTGGTGGATATAGCTGTCATCAGAGTGGTAGTGACTGCAGTTACATGATGCTTGTGACCAATTGTGATAGTGGCTGTGAATATGGTGCTAATGATTGTAGTAATGGTGGTAGTGGCTGTGGATGATAGTAGTGGCATAAAAACGTATACCTAGCTGGATGAATATTATTGTAGCCAGCTGGCCCAGTGGCTAACTCATCGGTCTGAGAGTTTTACGATTCTCTAACCATGAGTAGTGGCATGAGTTTCCTGATACTTGTTGCCCCTATTCACCTAGCAGTAAACAGATACCTAGGAATTTATCAACTGATGTGGGTCACATCAGAGATCCCAAGAGAAAAAAGCCATAGTGCTCTGCTTTCTTGTGTTATCCTTGGTTAATAATCTGGTATACTTGACAATCTACATATCACTTAAAAATAATGAATATCCATCAGGCCTATTTCTATTATTATATTCATGGAGATGCACTAAACCTGTGCGAGTCATACAGCACTTGGGGAATGGAAGGTAATCAGGTTTGATCCAAGAGGGTAAAAGCTCCAATTCCTTCGACTAAAGGGTCATATAGCACCTATGTTCATTTGTTAGACTAATAAAGAAAAATATCCCATGATTATTAATTAGTAGAAGTATATTCACAGTGAAGCACTAAACTCAGAGGCCATGTAGTATCTGGTGAAAGGGAGGTAATCAGGTTCAATCCAAAGGGGATGGCAGGTCCAATTCCTTGGATCAAGAGCCCCTTACCAGCCAGCATCAAGGAACCTCCCTAGAAGGGATTAATCAGGAAAAAAATATCAATGAGAATTAAAAATTAGTAGAACATCCATGGGGGAAGCACTAAACCCACAGGGTCCTCCAGTTCCTGGTGAATGGAAGACAATCAGGTTCAATCCAAAGAGGATGGCAGGTCCAATTCCTTGGATCAAGAGCCCCTCACCAGCATTAAGGAACCTCCCTAGAGATCAACAAGGAAAAATATCCATGGAACACTATTAGTAGCATATTCATAGGGGTAAAGCCCTAAACCTATAGGGTCCTACACCACCTGTCATTGTAATAATGTTTGTAGAATTACCGACAATATGTAAAGTAAAAGGACACAAGTGCAACTAATGTGACATTTTATTGTGGCAACGTTTCGCTCTCCAGGAGCTTTATCAAGCCGCCTGTCATCCTTTGCTAGACAAGGAAAAATATCCAAGGATTATTAATTAGTAGAAGTATATTCATGGTATATTCATAAGGGTCCTACAGTGCCTGGTTAATGAGAGATAATCAGGTCTGATCCACGGGAATGTACATAATATTCCTTGGATCAAGAGCCCTCCAGAAGAACTGTGACCTTCCTTCAGGGTCATTGATCCATATTCAAAATTTCCGTCAGCCTGACAACCGTCACCAGTCACTGGTTACTCTCTCTAAATTAACTGTCGTGTATTTGCCGATATAGAATATACATCTACTTGTATAGAAGTTGGTAACTTAAACACACATCTGCCTATTTGCTGATACGAAATATACATGAAACTGTATAGTAACTGGTAACGAAATTTAAACATATTTCGGCCCCGGAGGCGGCCACCTGGGCCGACCTCACCTGAAATTCAGGTTAAAAATCATCAGAAATTAACAAATAATGGAACAGTTCACCAATATTTTGTGCAATACTAGCTAAAATATAAACAAAACCTAATTGCCATGATGATGTGTTAAGGTGAGGTGGGCAGGAGGAGGGCAGGTGAGGTGGGCAGCAGCAGCAGTAGGCATCACCTAGCTCACCTTGAGGGTCACATCACACAGCTTCCCCTTCCTTCTGATGTCCTCCATCACCTGGAAGCCTCCCACGGGGAGATCATCTTGGTTAAATATGGTAAAGTCATCGCTCTCCACTATGCTCTCTAACTCCATTTCAAACTTGATGTGTTCCTCCTCCTCCATGGTTGACACAATGGCCGCGACTGCTGTTTATAAACATGGGTTGCCTCCTAACTCCCTATTGGCCGCTACCTTCACTTCCTCGGCTAATCAGATTCGGGCTTAGTGCAGACTCGAAGGCAGGCTTTGTTTTCATTGGTCGGTGCTGGTGCGGGGCTCTTGTAAACGACCGCTTGTCAGGGGAGTGTATACAGTATCAGGTGTGCCCATGCTGGGGACGGGCGCGCCTGTACCGGGGACGGACGGGCGCGCCTGTACCGGGGACGGACGGGCGCGCCTGTACCGGGGACGGACGGGCGCCCCTGTACCGGGGACGGGCGGGCGCCCCTGTACCGGGGACGGGCGGGCGCCCCTGTACCGGGGACGGACGGGCGCGCCTGTACCGGGGACGGACGGGCGCGCCGTACTGGGGACGGACATGCGCGCTCCCGTACTAGGGATGGACGGGCGCGTCTGCGCTGGGGACGGACAGGCAGCCCGTACTGGGGATGGAAGGGCACGCCTGTGCTGGGGACGGATGCGCCCGTGCTGGGGGTGGAAGGGCGCGCCCGAGCTGGGAACGGATGCGCCCGTGCTGGGGATAGATGGGTGCGTACTAGGGACGGATGTGTCCGTGCTGGGGATAGATTGGGCGCGTACTAGGGACGGATGCGTCCGTGCTGGGGATAGATGGGCGTGTACTAGGGACGGATGCGTCCGTGCTGGGGATAGTTGGGCGTGTACTAGGGACGGATGCGTCCGTGCTGGGGATAGATGGACGCGTCTGTAATGGGGACGGATGCGCCCGTGCTGGGGGTGGAAGGGCGCGCCCGAGCTGGGGACGGATGCGCCCGTGCTGGGGAAAGATGGGCGCGCACTAGGGACGGATGCGCCCGTGCTGGGGAAAGATGGGCGCGTACTAGGGACGTATGCGTCCGTGCTGGGGATAGATGGGCGCGTCTGTAATGGGGACGGATGCGCCCGTGCTGGGGGTGGAAGGGCGCGCCCGAGCTGGGGACGGATGCGCCCGTGCTGGGGAAAGATGGGCGTGTACTAGGGACGGATGCGTCCGTGCTGGGGAAAGATGGGCGTGTACTAGGGACGGATGCGCCCGTGCTGGGGAAAGATGGGCGTGTACTAGGGACGGATGCGCCCGTGCTGGGGAAAGATGGGCGTGTACTAGGGACGGATGCGCCCGTGCTGGGGAAAGATGGGCGCGTACTAGGGACGGATGCGTCCGTGCTGGGGAAAGATGGGCGTGTACTAGGGACGGATGCGTCCGTGCTGGGGAAAGATGAGCGTGTACTAGGGACGGATGTGTCCGTGCTGGGGAAAGATGGGCGTGTACTAGGGACGGATGCGTCCGTGCTGGGGAAAGATGGGCGTGTACTAGGGACGGATGCGCCCGTGCTGGGGAAAGATGGGCGCGTACTAGGGACGGATGCGTCCGTGCTGGGGAAAGATGGGCGTGTACTAGGGACGGATGCGTCCGTGCTGGGGAAAGATGAGCGTGTACTAGGGACGGATGCGCCCGTGCTGGGGAAAGATGGGCGTGTACTAGGGACGGATGCGTCCGTGCTGGGGAAAGATGGGCGTGTACTAGGGACGGATGCGTCCGTGCTGGGGACGAGTATGCTGGTCCCAAGAATGAGACGATCACTTCGAGTACGTGACGTACAAATAGGAAGCACGTCCCTCTGGCGATTAGCAGACGGAGGATCGAGCCTCCACCACGCCTTGCGCTGAATGACCCACGTGAATTTAGCGCTCTGTGCCTGTGATGGCCTCTTGATCAAAAAAAAAAAAAAAAACCTATCCTACCTTACCATGAGTTAGTAGGTTTAAATTATTTAGGCAGAGGTCAGCGCTGTATGACCCTTACGGATTTAGCGCTTAGATATGATTATACTAATTACGCACAGGTACATTTAGGTACAATTTTCATAGTGTAAATTACTTAGGATCACATTGGGGTCGAACCTATTTGCCTGACCTTCCCCGAGGCGCTGTATGGCCCTATCCTACGGGTTTAGTGCTTCCCCTTTGATTATAATAATGTATGGCCCTACGAATTTAGCGCTCCCGATCTTCCCTAAATAAAAGTAATTAGGCCTAACACTAATTAATACATTGCTGTATGACCCTGGTGGGTTTAGCGCTTAGTTTTGATTATAATAATAATACACTGCAAGCTGTTAATCATACAATTTGGCCGATTATAATTATAATCATGGGGAGCGCTAAACCCGTAGGATTGTACAGCGCATGTGGGGGGGGGATGGAAGGTATACAGGTTCAATTCAGGGAACTGGAGCACAGATCCAATTCCCTAGATCAAGAGCCCCTCACCAGCATCAAGGAACCTCCCTTGAGGGGACAATTTGGCTGAAATACTGAGCATACTTCTCGAAGTATTAAACTGTATTTATATTATGAAAAACGTCAAGTGCAATCTAAGCTGCTATATATACCACTCGAAAGGAGGATGACAAAGTTGATCCCATGTATCAGAAACCTTCCCTATGAGGATAGACTGAGAGCCCTGAATCTGCACTCTCTAGAAAGACGTAGAATTAGGGGAGATATGATTGAGGTGTATAAATTGTTTACCTGGAGTTTACCTGGAGAGAGTTCCGGGGGTCAACGCCCCCGCGGCCCGGTCTGTGACCAGGCCTCCTGGTGGATCAGAGCCTGATCAACCAGGCTGTTGCTGCTGGCTGCACGCAAACCAACGTACGAGCCACAGCCCGGCTGGTCAGGAACCGACTTTAGGTGCTTGTCCAGTGCCAGCTTGAAGACTGCCAGGGGTCTGTTGGTAATCCCCCTTATGTATGCTGGGAGGCAGTTGAACAGTCTCGGGCCCCTGACACTGTATGGTCTCTTAACGTGCTAGTGACACCCCTGCTTTTCATTGGGGGGATGTTGCATCGTCTGCCAAGTCTTTTGCTTTCGTAATGAGTGATTTTCGTGTGGAAAACAGGAATAAATAAAGGGAATGTAAATAGTGTGCTGAAAATATCTAACCTAGACAGGACTCGCAGCAATGGTTTTAAGTTGGAAAAATTCAGATTCAGGAAGGATATAGGAAAGTACTGGTTTGGTAACAGAGTTGTGGATGAGTGGAACAAACTCCCAAGTACAGTTATAGAGGCCAGAACGTTGTGTAGCTTTAAAAATAGGTTGGATAAATACATGAGTGGATGTGGGTGGGTGTGAGTTGGACCTGATAGCTTGTGCTACCAGGTCGGTTGCCGTATTCCTCCCTTAAGTCAATGTGACCTGACCTGACTAGGTTGGGTGCATTGGCTTAAGCCGGTAGAAGACTTGGACCTGCCTCGCATGGGCCAGTAGGCCTGCTGCAGTGTTCCTTCGTTCTTATGTTCTTAAATAATTTTCGAAACTGTAATGATACGATCGTAAAAACCTCATTGCCCACGTTAAGAATATTACCAATAAACCCCTGACAGGTCTCCAAGAGGGAGCTGGACAAGCACCTAAGTCAGTACCTGTCCAGCCGGGCTGTGGTTCGTACGACGATTCGCTTGTGGCCAGCAGTAACAGCCTGGTTGATCAGGTCCTGATCCACCACGAGGCCTGATCATGGACTGGGTCGCGGGGGCGTTGACCCCCAGAATACCTTTTCTTTGTTAATGACCATATTACTTTGTGTGTTATTACCCTAGTATTCACTTCTTTTACAGCCTCAGTACGTATGTTAAACAATCATGGTCACATGACGGTCACATAGTCACATCATGGTCACATCAGTCTCATCATGGTAACATAGTCACATCACGGTCACAGTCACATCATACCTGGAGGTTATTCCGGGGATCAACGCCCCCGCGGCCCGGTCCATGACCAGGCCTCCCGGTGGATCAGGGCCTGATCAACCAGGCTGTTACTGCTGGCCGCACGCAGTCCAACGTACAAACCACAGCCCGGCTGGTCACATCACGGTCACATCACGGTCACATGATCACATCACGGTCACATCATGGTCACATCACGGTCACATCATGGTCACATCACGGTCACATCTAAGGGTCTATTTCAGTTGGAAAATGGTGCCCCTTACCTACCTACACTAAGCCTCACTCTTTACTTTTTAATAGCTTACTACCGATTTTATACATTTACAGCATCTGCCAATGCTTTATCATGTCTTTTCTAATTTAATATCTCTGTGGGCGGTATTAAAAAAGATTACAGAGATAAATAACAGGTCCAAGGACTGGGCCCCAATTTTGATAGTTTGTCTGGTGACAGCCATAATGAGTTGCTTATGCAGACAAATTCAGTCAAAAATATTAGTGTAGCTTACAGTATATGAACTTTTTTTTAATTATTTATATTACCTTATAATTTAGCAAGGTATGGTTGAATTTAATCAAGTTTAAGGAGCTGTGAGTTATTTACAATAGACAAAGTCGGGGGATTTTCGAAAATGAATGGTAATATGCGATAGTCACAGTATAGTGGATAAGTACCTTGACATTTTTTGAACGTATGATTGAGTCGTCTCTGAATTAATTTTATTGCATTCTAGCACATAATAACACAGGGTGTGACAATAGTCCATCTGGCAGAGTTTACATTTAGTTATGTCTACACTAGGTAGTGATGCAACCTCCCAGAAATACTTGTAGCCCAACCGGAGCTGGGCGGTAGTGATATCCAAGAGTCTGCTGATATTGTTGGCTGCACCATAGACATGTGGCTCCTCCTGCATGATGGAATAACTGTTTTGACTGGTAATCTCCCTGCCTTCACTAACTACATTAGAAGAAACAGTTATTGACTCTTATAAAAGTATTGTTTACTTATGTGCTTCAATGTAAATACTTGATTTACAAAATCCCTACTCTTCCTCAATCCTTATTGTTCCTCTGCAAGCCTATTGTCTAACCCCAAACTTTTTCAATAATATACTTTTGAGGCTTGTTTCCCTATATTTTTTACACTTTCTCATTTTTCCATCTTCCTTTATACAGTGCAACTATGCATGCTGTCAACCCTTAGATACCTTCCCTTCTTTCATGAACACACAACAAATAGCACTTCAAATTATATTTGGAAGTTCTAAACCCGTGGGGATTATACAGAGCTTGTGGGGGGGATGGAAAGCAGGCTTAATTAACTCTGACAATTGGAGCACAAATCCAATTCCCTAGATCAAAAGCCCCTTACCAGCATTGAGGAGCCTCCCTTGAGGGTGCAGCACTTCAGAACTCTATTCCCAACTACTTTTTAATATCTTATTCCACCTGTCCCACCTACTTCACCCCTTTTCGTTCTACTTAGTCTTATTTGTTTTAAGTCCGTTTGTTGTCCCAATAAACAGCAAATATGTTTTACTTGTCACTTCGTATTGAGTGTGTGCCGATGTATAAGAAAAAGATAAACAAGAACTAAAAGGATGATAAAGACAAAGGCTGAAACATTACCCTGGCTAGTCGTAAGTGTGGTGGAGTGCGGGAGGGGAGGCTCTCAGGAACACAAGTAGTAGGTTGTTGCAACACTTCCATCACGGCATCCACTCTTAACTTGCTGAGCTGACAGTGTTGGCTCCCCCAGTCCCTAGACTCTTACATCTGTATTATTATTATTATAATAAAAAAGAAGCGCTAAGCCACAAGGGCTATACAGCCGTACATCTGTAATATTTTGGCTACAGCCCACAGGATGGGAACGGAGCGACTGCCGCCCACAGGTCAAGATTTTGTGTATATTAAAACACCCGATGCTTAATTTGACTGCTAGGCGAGCAAGGAGTGTAAGAAGACTTACATTTTTCACAGGGTCAGGAGAACGAACCCCCAACCGTTTTAAACCTCGGAATGGGCGGGGATTGAACTCATGGCAAGTGAGTGGTATACACGCAGGCCAGTGCACTGGCCTGCGTGTTTTAAGATTCACTCACCAGGGGTTCAATCACCACTCGTTCAGTGGTTTGTTTGCATTAGTATTATTACGATTCCGTGAGTCACAGTGGTAGTTTTTTTTTTCAAACTGTATTCCATACTGTACTGTGTACAACTATTTGAGGTAACTGTAAATGTGAAATGACTAATATTCCTTTCTTGTTATGTAACAATGGGGGTCAAACGAAAACCCATTGTGACTTTTTTTTTTTTTGCGCTACTGCTCACAGGATGAGCATGGGACGCCTAAGCGGCACACCTAAACTTAGAGAAAGTTAGGAATCGAAAAAGAGCTTATGTAGGATAACAATTCACCTGCCACTACAGTCTTACTCTCCCTCTTTCTTGAACACTTTGGTTTCATTCTTATGTTATAGCCGTATACTCTGATGGTTCTACATCCCTAGATAGTATCGGGTATACCTGAAGGGTTTTCCAGGGACCAACGCCCCCGCTGTCCGGTCCATGACCAGGCCTCGCGGTGGATCAGGGTCTGATCATTTATTGTTGCTTCCGACTGTCCTAAGTCAGTCACAAGCTATCTAAAAATTCGACTTCCCTTATCCCATCACCGACGTTCAGGGCATGAACAAGCAGACTGTGCCGCTTAGTCAGCTATTCAAGATCTCACAACCTAATACCTACCTCACAACTTCCCGCAAGTGGGTATTCCTTTCTTGGACGTATTTTTCAGTACTACGAAACTCCTGACAACAATGCAGGTCCAAGTTAGAAAGCAATCAACTGTTTTCTATCAAACCATGAATGGGATTATGGCTATCTTCTTCCCACAACTGTCAAGTTTGGAAAACTGCACTCACGATTATGAATCAGACGAACGTGGTTTACTCACACGGAGAAATGACCATAACTATTCTGAAGATTGCCGCGTCACATAATCAGTTCACTATTATCTTAATAGATTGTTCTGTATATTAGCGAGCACGCAGGGTTCACTTCGACATCTAGAACCCCTAACACGCGACCTCCATGCTGAATGTCCCACCCTCATCACATTCTGGCTTTTTTTTTTTTTTAACGAAAAGTAGCCTATTGCACTATGATTTCAATTTCGCATTCCCACTCACTCCCCCTACCTACCCTTACCCTTCGTCCATCCCTACCCACAGCTCTGTATTGTATGGGCCGTACAGTTTAGTGCATAAATTGGATGTATATTATTATTATACTGACTCAACAGTGTTTTAGCTTCCACCCATGCCCACTCACCTGTACCTCTCAATTTAGCTGTGTCGCCTGAGTGGCTAGTTTACTGTGCACCTGCAACTCATCCTGTGAGCGACAGCACGAAAATAGGGATTAGAGAGTTCACAATGGGTCTTCGTCAGACCCCACTGAGCATCGTTACATCACTAGAAAGAAATATTAGTCATTTAATATTTTACAATTACTTCATATAGTTGTAAAGAACACAAATCTAAAATAAATATCTTATTACCACTAAAAAAGGCATTGGTCATAATTAGGTGATTTCTCCATAAAAACCGTTCATTCATCCAGTGACATTCTAGTCGATGCAAAATGTGGATACAACCTCAAGATTTTAGATATCATTGATAATGAAGTGTTTTGCCATATCTTGTAAAGTTTGCATGGAGGTGTAACTGAAAGGTTGTATGCTTGAACTCTAAGATGCAATGTTCAAGTGTATGGTCTGTCTTTGTTCATATTTCATTATATGTCAGTGACTTATCCATACAAACTGTACTGCAGAGATTTTATAGCCTAGCCTTAGTCTAGCAGTAACAATATATTTTCTACTGACCTGTTTACTTTCTCCGTATTATTATTATTATTATTATTATAATCAAGGGGAAGCGCTAAACCCGGAGGATTATACAGCGCCTGGGGGGGGATGTGGAAGGCATTCAGGCTTAATTCGGGGAACTGGAGCACAGATCCAATTCCCTAAATCAAGAGCCCCTCACCAACATCAAGGAACCTTCCTTGAGGGGTACTTTCTCCGTAGATATCTTGAACTTTACACATTTCATTATGATGGACAATGGATCCGCTAGTTTCTATCTGTACTGTTTTACTGTCTTCAAGCTCGTTTGTTAGTGTCTGTCTGGTAATATTTCGTTAACTTGTTGGGATACAAATCATACTCGTATTCTCTTTATTTAAATACTGTTTAACTAATTAGTCAACTTTGTCACTCTCCTGGAGGCCTATGTGAAGAGGAATCCACGAAAATTTAATTGTAATCCCTTTCTTAGTATATCTGTGCCTAGTTTCATACACACGCATGCTACATTCAGGTCTCGGGCTATTTAAAGCATGTAACGAGGATAGTTATTTACAATTAAACTGTGTGAAGTCGTAATTTCTACTAGCCTGAGAGCGACAAGTATGACAAACAGTTTAGTTTGTAAGGTGGAAACCCAATGATTAATTCTAATACACCTCTGTATAATAGTACCGTCAGGCTGGTTAACGATAACAGCAACAGTAATCGAAGCTGAGAATGTACCCTTGACTTTAATCTATTTCTGTCATATATATGTGCAAGGAAGTACCCCTCATTTCAGTCTATTCCTGTCAAAATATGTGCAAAAATACCCCTCACTTTGGTCTATTCCTGTCTCAATATGGGCACTTTTGTCTAATCCTCCGAATATTTTACGAAGCCCTATTATAACTTCCCATTATTATAATAAAAAAGAAGCGCTAAACCACAAGGGCTATAACTTCCCAGGATCCTCTATTCCAAAACTGTCAGGTTCAACTTTGTGGTAATCCTTACAGTTCAATTTCCAAACCCTTCAAAATGGCGAACCTCCGGACCTGGTCTAGGTTTTCGGCACGCTTGGTGAACATCGTTTGTATGAAGTACTGAAGGTGAATAACATATACAAGTAATACATAATAAATATTTATTTCCAAATTCACAATAGAAATATACATCATACCCTGTCATATGGTATGTCCAAAATAAGCTCAGTTCCTTCCAACACACTCATGCACAAACTGGGGTTGTATGTACACATGGCTTGTGTAGACATACTGGGGTATGTATACATGGCTTGTGCACTCATTCTAGGGTTGTACGTATACCTGGCTTGAGAGCACATACTCAGGTTGTACATACACCTGTGCACATGACCTGTGTGCACATCCTGGGATTGTATGTTAACACGGCTGTGTGCATATAATAAAAGTTGTACATATAAGTCTTGTGTGCACATAGAGGATTATACATACACAGCTTGCTCGTACAAACTGAAGGGCGACGCACACACAGTTGAGTGCACAATTTTGGCTTTTACGTAAATAGCTTTGAGTGGGTTGTGTGCACACAGCTTGTGGGTACACACAAGTGTTGTACCGCGTACACAAAGCGTGTGCGGAAACTTGGACATTGTGTACACCCTGAGCCTCCTGTCACACAGTAATGCAAGAAAGCAATCAGGTACACACCGTGCACACACCTTGGGGTCTGTGCTTACACTGAGAGGTGTATGTGTGTGTGTACGGCAGGAATATTCCAACATGCACACGGATGGCGTGTAGACACAAGATGTACGTTAATACGCTGTGGACATGTACGTCCCGGCGCTGGCAGCACGGGGATCGTCTCCAAAACATGAAGTGCGCACATACTGGAGATCATGCATACACGAGGTATGTAAATGGACAGAGATGTGCACAGGAGTCTGGGGGCGTGTGCACAGGAGTGTGCTGCGGGGTGGGGAAGGGGGGGTGCACAGGGTTGAGGAGGCCCTAGCGAGGTGCGAGGGAAAAAGGGTATGTCACCCTTCATGGCCCTTGTGAAGGACGGAGGTTGTGCCTCGCCTGTACCCCCGCCATTTACAACATTCCACACAATGGGGGTAGGGGTGGGGGTTACTGCCGTTTGGTTTAAAATAGAAAAAAAAAACTAATATAACCATAAATAAAATATAGGACACCTATATACGACAATACATAAAAAACTAATAGATTAAAAACCACAATTTTTTTTCTAAAACAAGCCTCGCGTCTTAAAAAGAAATATACTAGCTTTCATGAATTTCTGCGGAATCCAAAGTGGCAGCAACACAAGGCGTGTCAGTGAATACAAGCCATTAACTGTTGAAATCAGCCGATGTTTTTTCTTCTTGCCTGATTTCAGTAGTGCGGTCAGGAAGGGGCGAAAGTATCAATTTTCGCACACTTGGAAATTTCTAAGATTTCAAAAGCTTTCATACCATCTCGCGCACGAGAAACATTTCTTTTTTTTATTATTTTAGTATCCCTGAAGCAGATGTCTTGTATGCTCGAGTGGAAACTAAAGCCGACACTGAGCTACCTGTCAAGGACACGGACTGCAGTGTGACACTGAGTCACCCGTCAAGGACACGAGCCTTAGTGTGTCCTTTTTTTCCCAGAGATAAAAGTACGTACCGCGATTTAAAAAAAAAAAGTTACACTGAAATCCATACTTGGGCAAGTCGACCAATTTTCCATCAGAAAGGCTACTGTCGTTTCACAGTTAATGGGGAAACATCAATAATAGTCAACATCTAGATTAACAACATCAATATGTTGTATCAATCACATTAAGTAACATTTATGTAAGGCATTTAATACGTTGAGTACATAGTGATCCCATAAGGGACAGTATAACATGATGGAATCCACACATCAACAACAATTACAAACTCGTTTACAAGGCATATTGTGGACATAACCGTGTATTGGAGCGTTCACCCAAAGTCACAGTTATGACCTCGGTCAGGCAGTAGTTATAAGGAACCGCACTCCTTCCTAGTTATACATTATTGCAACTAATCTCAAACTAGTTTCTGTACATCTAACTTTCAAAATAAATAAATTACAAATTATGTATACACTTTGTTTGAGAGGAATGTTCACGTTAAGCCTTTTTTTGGAACATGGAATGTTAGGTAAGTACAGTGGTACTGTACCACAGTAAGCATTGGGCTATACCACCTTTTTGTATAATCTTTAAGGGAATTCTAAGTTTATAGCATATGAAGTATATAAAAAAGGTAAAAAATAAACGGGCCTCCAAAAACCATCAACAAACAGGAAGATTATTTTTTTAGAGTTCAACTTAAAAGGGATAAAAAAAAAATAATGGAACTTCCAATATTTCTCTAAAGAGGGAAAATCTGACAATTTACATAAGACAGGTTAAAAAAATCTAACCAAGATCAAACCAAATTAAGTGGTAATAGAGAAACAAAGATTAAACTTGAAAAGTGTCAGATTTGAAATGGAGAAGAGAGAACAGTAGATAAATGGATCAGAAAACCGACAAATCGATGACCTGTGCAACACTTGGGTATCTTGATGCAAGTGTTGCACAAGGAGAGAGAGAACATTCACCGCGTCAATCATTCTGGGAAGTTATCATTCATATCCACACACACACACCCAAGTTACCTTCAAGCATCACCGAAACTTTCTAGTTCAAAATTTTGTATCACCTGATTCACTCGTATCGTAACACACAATTATCCGGAGTGCCAAAAAAAATCGAAACTGCTTTTGCAGGAATGTAAACCTACTCAGAAATTAATCTAAAAAAAAACAATTAAGTTTCGATACTTATTAAAATATCAAGACTCGATAATGGAGGAATGAGAGAGAGAAAGAGAAGGGGAACAATCAGAATTTTATTTAAGACCTTTAAATAACGTTTGCGTATTTCCATGTTTGGCAATTTGCGCCATTTCTACCAGACCGAGACAAAAACCATTCAAATATCGGTATATACACTCTATACTATTTTTCCCTTTGAATACACTTAATCTTCAAAACAATGAAGTTGTCAGCCTGACCCTGGGCACAAGGTAGCAGCAGCAACATTCACTTACTGTACCACTACTGTACCGTTGGTGGTACAGTAATGAATGTTGGTGGAATGCTCTCTACTGTACCACTGATGGTACAGTAATGCATGTTAGTTGAATGCTCATTACTGCACCACTGATGGTACAGTAATGCATGTTAATTGAATGTTCATTACTGCACCACTGATGGTACAGCAATGCATGTTAGTTGAATACTCATTACTGTACCATTGATGGTACAGTAATGAATGGTTGAATGCTCACTACTGTACCACTGGTGGTACAGTAATGAATGGTTGAATGTTCACTACTGTCCCATTGATGGTACATTAATGAATGTTGGTTGAATGCTCACTACTGTACCATTTTAATACAGTAATGAATGGTGTTGGAATAACAAACATTACTGTACCAAGGATGGTACAGTAAGGAATGGTGGTGGAACACCCACCACTGTACCAAGGATGGTACAGTAATGAATGGTTGTGGAACAACACCCACTACTGTAGGAAGGATGGCAGACTCATCCATCGTTCAACAGTATTACACTTGAAGGTGCTCGCCAAATGCTCACCTATCACAAAACAACAACACTGTTATATTATTCTACAAGACTAGAGCATATCACAAATCACATTAACACATGTTCAATGACTTGATCTGAGGACCACATGTTTTTACTGCCTGTTGGTGAATCGTCGTAGTGATAAAAATATTATTTTTGCTCTACTTGTCATTACTTCGGATGTAAGAAAATGTAATACGTTGGTTGAATTTCAGACAATATGTTAGGTAAAAGGACACAAGTCAACTAATGGGACATTTTATTGCGGCAACGTTTCGCTTTCCAGGAGTTTTGACATGCCGTAACAGTTTTGACAAGCCGTTACGGCTTGACAAAGCTCCTGAAGAGCGCAACATTGCCACAATGTCGCATTAGTTCCACTTGTGTCCGTTCACATATTTTCTCTAGCTAAAGTAATGACAAGTAGAGCAGAAATAAGACTTCATCGCTACGACGTTTGACCAACACGGGGCTTTATCAAGTAACATCTCGTGTAGGCGAAACGTTGTACTGATGAAGGCCTTTTGAGCCGTCTCTCATTAAGTACCTATTTTCTACATCTGTGGCCACCAGCACCGGGTCTTGAGTTCTCACTTACGTCCATTCTCACAAAAAAAAAAAAATGAGAATTTGGTCTCAAGTCATGTTTGGCGGAGGTGTGCTGCGTTACTGAGTTTAAATCCTATCGACTACGCAATGGTAAGGAACCCTAGAGGGTTATACCGCTTAAGAAATATTCCTCCATTATACCCGGGTACACCGTGGGTCAAAAGCACCTGTCGATATACACTTGGCCTAGGGTGGATGGGCGCACGTATTTACCAGTATGTTGTTGCAGGGGTCGAGTCTTGGCTCCACCCCATAACCTACCACTTGCCAGACTCACTCCTATCCTCTGGGGCCCTGTCATACATACTCTTAAAAACTACGCATGAAACCTCCCTCCACTACTACTACAACCTCGTCATTTCACTTCCAAACTACCCTGAGGCTGAATAAATACTTCCCAACATCCACATGACTCATTTGTCTAACTGTCCAACTGTGTGGTGTTGTGCATGATTCCCACTTACAAACGTATATTATTGTCTGCAGTATCATTTCCCTGAGTCAGGCTTCAGCTTGCCCAAAACGTTCTGCATAACCATGGACTTTCTACACGCATTATCAACAGTCACTCATTTCTATATAAACAATGTATCATGTTGGAATGAATTTTGAATCTGAGTATTTTGCATGTTATATATCTCTATGGTGTACGCTGGGAGGTGCAGAATGTTAAAAGTTTTATGTTTCAATATTCACAAGAAATACCGGGCCGTGTTTCTTTAAGGCACCTGCTGTCCCTGTTTACCTATCAGTAAAATGGGTACCCGGGTGTTAGTTGACTGGTGTGGGTCACATCCTGGGGACAAAATTGACCTAATTTGCCCGAAATGCTCTGCATAACCAGGCTTTCTATGTAGTAACATGTCGCTGATGTCAACTATACTCTCTATAAGTTGTATCATGTACTTGTAGAAATAAAGATTATTATTATCACATAAATGCCCACAAAGACACACCCCTTCACCAGACTCGACTCTTACTATCTCTTATTGTATGCTTCTATATTAATAAATTTATCCCTTGTAAGACCGGATAAAAAAAATCAACTCAACCAGCCTACTGGTTATGTGTATTTCGCCTCAGGCACAGTCATTAATCAAAATGACACTCAGAAAAGTCATTGAGAACACTACTGGCAATCACTGTAGTGCCAACAGGGGCCACCAAATTCAGCTAACTACTGCTGCGTGTTCATAACTAACTCCAAGCCCCTCAAGGAAGGTTCCTTGATGTTGGTGAGGGGCTCTTGACTTAGGGAATTGGATCTGTGCTCCAGTTCCCCGAATTAAGCCTGAATGCCTTCCACATCCCCCCCCCCAGGCGCTGTATAATCCTCCGGGTTTAGCGCTTCCCCCTTGATTATAATAATAATAATAATCTAACTCCAAGGCAACTGTGTCATCAATAGTTAAATGTGACTGCTAACAGAGTAGTTATTAATGGCTCAATTTGTCGACAGTCTTGCTCTGTGACACTCCAGTGCGTGTATTCTCTCTTATACCCACATTAAGGCGTAACCTCATACTTGCTACATAAGAAATTCTACTATTTCTACATCAAACCATTCCAATATCTCTACATCAAACCATTCCAATATCTCTACATCAAACCATTCCAATATCTCTACATCAAACCATTCCAATATCTCTACATCAAACCATTCCAATATCTCTACATCAAACCATTCCAGCATCTCTACATCAAACCATTCCAGCATCTCTATATCAAACCATTACAGCATCTCTACCTCTATTTATTCTACCATCTCTACGTCCAACCATTCTACCATTCCCTATCACAGCAACATTTAGTAATGTATATACAGTTCTTAAAAACTTCACTCTAATCGTTTATCCTATTCCCCATTCTTAAAAAAAAAATACACATGCTGAGGGAACAAAGGTAATATTTATTTCTATCTAGCTCTTCTTATCTATACAAACTTGGGCTTATTAAAATGGAAAATTTTTGTCTCTGAAATATTACTGTACTGTGTACTTCAGTGTATTGTACTTCTCTGTCGGAACCAAGGAGAAGACACCCAGTTAAATAAGAGAGCAATAACTCAAGATTCAAGTTAAGTTCCCTAGACCTCCTCCCTTCCAGCAAGACTGCCACCTCTGAGTCCCTCCTTACAGAAATTCTGGAGCTGCCTCTAACTGTGGAGATAAAAGGTATAAAATACCGAAAAGATGGAAAAATAAACACAAATGCCCACACAGTGGGCTTTATCAAGTCACAAACAGGGTGAAAAGGTACAGGTAGGTTCACTAAAATAACCTAACCCGGGTCTTCTTCATGTGGTGACCCGGCGGTAACTCCCCATAGGTTGAGACACCCTGGGTAACTGATGGATTGATTCCTCAGGAACTGCGTCCTGGCCCGGGTCTTCTCCATTTGGTGACGCGACCATCCTGGGTGTGAAAATTTGTGTGGACTGCCTCCAAGTGAGTCGCCTACCCTGGCAAACTCTGTTGACACCGAGCTCTGAGGTGGGTACCTCAGCCTCACAAGTGGCTTATAGGACAGATTTTCACAAATGATTGATGTTGCAAGAAACTCGCCTGCATGCACGTATAAAGGACTAACTTACTTGGTGTTGCAGCATATATCCTGATCTTCAACTTCCCTAAGCTTAGCCTTAGCCCCTTTGGACTTCCCCTCAGAAACCACATTCTCTACCTGACTCTCCACACTATATATACTCATGTACTCTTTACCCAGGATGGTCGCGTCACCAAATGGAGAAGACCCGGGCCAGGATGTCCTGGTGAACCTACCTGTTTACCCAAGTACTGTTTGTGATCTGATAAACCCACTATGTGGGCGAAACGTAGTCAATAAAGGATCGCATTATACTCCATTTGTGTTCATTTTGCCCCCTAACTGTACTGTACTTTTGTGTACTGTACATCTGCACTCATCCTTTTAATTTTTTCATTAGTCATAAGGTTGGCGAAGTCTTTGTAACAAATGTTTATGTGATAAATGCTTTAGAAATCCTACAAGCTGAAGAATGAGACACTTGTGTAACTTCTGGAAAAAGTACTTTTCTCAAGACTGATGGACTGAAACATATCGACTCCAGGCTGAGGGACTGATTACCTCAAATTTCTCATCTTCGACCGTTTTTCTTTGTATTGGACTGAAAAAGCCACTGGCTGGCTTAAAGTTTCCTCAATAAAGATACCCAAGTGCTGCACAAGTTTCTCATTCAACAAACCTGTACCTTCACAACACTCACACTCCCCAGTACTCAAACCTTCATTTATAAACACACATTCTTGTCCTTCATCCCACAGTATTTTAAATAATAAAAAATACTTACTTTAAATGAATAAACAATACAAAATAAAGAAGTAAGAGAGGAAACAGATGGTACTCTGGAGCCCTCAAAATGCACACACATAGGAAAACGATCTTGGCTTCATAAATAAATAGGAAAAATAATCTGATGTGAATCTATAACCTAAACAATGATATGCTATGGCAGATTATCGTATTTTCCAGCATATAAGGCACACGACATAAGTATCATAATGGTAAATTAGTAATCATATTCAAGGGCTAATTACCCTCTTATCTTACGCTAAAGCGTAACACAAAGCCTACCCTTGACCCTGACCTTGAGCATATAAGGCGCAGGCTGATTTTCCAAGACGGAGGGGAGGGAGGGAAGCGCGCCTTATATGCCGGGAAATACGGTATATTACAAACTAGTAATTTGGCACAGTGATACAATATAATTATTATACTTTCTTTATCTACAAGTCTACTGTCCCAATGATATTCTTGTACATATTTAATACTAGATATATGGCTGACCAGGTAGTTTTAGATAAATATAATTGTCTAAAGTTCAACAGCAGGTACTCAGGTCCAGGTGAAAATACTCATTCAGATATCAAAGATTTTCTATTGCGAGTAATACGAAAATATAGTTTATAGAGGCATCAGTAGAGATATTTATCAGAGGTGTTACAATGTGAGCCAATATTACAACAAAGTTCACTAAGAATGCACTGACAAGATTTAGTGGTAAGAAAAAAATCACATTTTCTAAACACGACACCTGAATTTATTCGCGAAAAATTCGCACATCGGAAAGGAACCTTGAAGCGACTTTTCAGTCTGTGGTAGTCACTTTGACCTTTTTGGGGGGATTATCCTGGGTAATTTATACGTATGTTGGTATGTGATAATCGCGACCAAGCGAAACAACCAAGAGGGGGGGGGGAGTTGAAAGGCAGCTCTAGGGTCTCGTGTTGCAATTACAACAACATCAGGAGCTTGCAGTGTTGTAGCAATGAGTAGGAAGTCCAGGTAGGTTCGTTCAAAGGAACGACTCTAGCTACCTGGAATTCCTACTCATTTCTGCAACACTGCAAGCTCCTGATTATGTGTTGATTGCAACACAAGAGCACTAGAGCTATCGTTCAACTCTCCCATGTTTTTTTTTTTTTGTATATTTTACTCTGTATGATAATTTGTGTAACTGTATTTGTGTGTACCTGTACTAAACTAAATGTACACTGTGATCTAGGACGACCACAACAGTGGTCCAAGATGACCATAACGTCGTCACGAGGTTCCCCTCCTCAGTGTGGATCTTTGGTGAATTATTCCAGCCACGGTATTGTGACCTTTTTATTTTTTCTAATTCTCCCTGAATCTATATTTCCATACACAGATCCAGCGGTGACCATCTATAATTTAGAAAAAATGTACAAAGTGAACACTTAAAGATGACAATATATTTTGATGATGATGATCCCACTGGCGCTCCTCTCTACACACCCATACTGTTACATATTTCAGTTTCGTTATGCTACCACAATTAGATAAAAATGCCAGTGTTATTAAATAACTGAACCACAAGAAACTGAGATGAGATAGAAGAGAAAAAAAGGGAAATGAGTTGGAAGACATAATAAATATGCTGACCTGGAGGCCAACAGCTGACCTGGAAGACAGCAGCTGACCTGAAAGACAGCAGCTGACCTGGAAGACAGCAGCTGACCTGGAAGACAGCAGCTGACCTGGAAGACAGCAGCTGACCTGAAAGACAGCAGCTGACCTGAAAGACAGCAGCTGACCTGGAAGACAGCAGTTGATCTGGAAGAGCTCAAGATCTTTCACACATCTCCATACATCATCAGGGGCTATACAAATGCTGCAAGAGTAGCAACAAGTGGAATGAGAGGAAGTTTTCTCAGAGTTAATGTGGTCAGCATCACCATGCTATCATACTCTGAGAGGAACTGGCTGGTGTCACCACGCTACCTTACTCCGAGAAAACTTCCTCTCATTCCATTTGTTGCTACTCTTGCAACGTTTGCATAGCACCTGATGATGCACAGACATGTGAAAGATCCTGAGCTGGCTTGCATTCATGATAGTGTTAAACCCATGTGGCTCACTCTCTGCTTGTAAAATTGGAATATACCTTGTAGCACTGATGGCACTGTTTTATACAGTGTTGAATGATACAGAATAACACAGGCTTTGAATTACACAAGGTTGGAGTCAGGTCTTCCAAACAAGTGGGGCTGGATCTCTGCAAATGCTGAGAAATCATACCTTACTGCATGAGACATATTCATACTTCCAAATACTATATTAGAATTTTATTTTTAAGATATCATTGATTCAGAATTTAATTATTTTTACCACCTATCTCTATTTGCAATTTGTTTGGTAGTTCAGTGTGAAATAAATAACGAATGGAACATTAGTAAGTTGAAAACAGATAAATGGTTCAGAGAACAGACAAGTTGATAAGCCACATGTGCAACACTTGGGTATCTTTATGGAAAAGTTTTGCCAGTGGCTTCATCAGTCTACTACAAAGAAGAATAGTGATGCTTGGAAGGAGCTTGAGGTAATCAGTCCCTCAGCCTGGAGTCGATGTAATCAGTCCATCAATCTTGATAAGAATACAGCGTATGTGCGAAGAAGGGGCTTATATAATCCCCTTCTTTATGCATATGCTGCATTCTTATCAATCTTGATGAACTAATTGCATAGATTCCATGGACTAATTATCTCAAAATCCTTCTGATCTTCACCAATCTTCTTTGTATAGGACTGATGAAGCCACTGTGTGGCGAAACATTTCAACAATAAAGATACTCAAGTGTTGTGCATGTGTCTAACTCATTACTAAACTGAAATATATAGCAGGAAGTACTGGGTATTTTTACACATCACCACAAGATACTTTGTGGACGAAGATCCAGCTAGCTGGCAAAACAGCGAGCATTTTTTTCCCTATATCCATCCATATTAAGTAAATTAATACTGAGATCTAGTTTTTATACTGTACTGCTTACTTACCTACGTATGCTGAAAATTCGTAAATTCGTAATAAACGAATGTAACAATTCAGTGGAGTGATTGAGCCTTCATTTCATGGTGTGGCTGTCTTAATACTACCAGCTCATTGCTTTACCACTGCGCCATCAGGGTTGAGAATTCTTCTACCATCTGTGGTTCACTGGTTAGACTACAAAGTTCTGATAACTGAACAAGTTACAATGGTAATGTACTATGTAAACAGTTCATTACCACTGTTAACTTTAGTTATTAGACCTTTGCAGCCCAGTCTCTGGACCCATTATGTACCTCTGTAATCTTTTGACTACCACCCACACCATGGGTATAGTGTTACTACCACCCACATCATGGGTATGGCATGACTACCACCCACACCATGGGTATGGTGTGACTACCACCCACATCATGGGTATGGCATGACTACCACCCACACCATGGGTATGGTGTGGCTACCACCCACACCATGGGTATGGTGTGGCTACCACCCACACCATGGGTATGGCATGACTACCACCCACAACATGGGTATGGTGTGACTACCACCCACAACATGGGTATGGTGTGACTTCCACCCACACCATGGGAATGGTGTGCATAATAAAGATATTAAACTGGTTAAGTGATGGACTTTTACTCTCAGTACTGCCAAACCACCTGCTCAAGGCTCCATCGCTTCACAGAAAACATACATACATGCTTAATGATACTCTATATACCTTGTAGTATAGAAAGACAAGCTGGAAGATTCATATTTGGCAATGTGACGTAATAATTTGGCCAGATGTGATGGGAACAAGTGCTGTCCCCTCGTTCTCGCAACACTCACTCACCTACAATTAACACATTACGAGATCACATTCACTGCATTACGACAATGAAAGATTTAATACAAAACCCTGACAAACCTTTTTTTTTTTTTACAAATGTTGGTAATTAAAACTTACATAATGAAAATAAGTGATAATTTCTAAAACATTTTGAATGGCAAATCCTGTACATAAATAGCACAGTACAGTAGTTAAGGAACGTGAGGGTGTGGGGGAGGGGGGTTATAAAAAAGAAAACTTTGAGAGTGTGGATGCTGGTAACATGAACATTTTCATATGTCAAATGGTTTTTTCTACAGTAACAGAGACAAAGCCACTGCACACCTACATCAATATATACAAACACACACATAACACTGGTTTAAGTATCTTTATAACCTCCATAAGAGGTACCCAATTAATGACTAAAATTATGAAGATTCATTTCAAAGACAGACGTATACACATTGAGCAGTCCGCAGGTGGCCGCTCATTGGCTAGCGGAGATGTATCACTCGACCCAGCCAATCAAAGACCAGTAAATGATCATGAAAAAATTCATAAAAATAAAACGATACTACATAATTCCAGCCAATTATTTTCGTATATGTTAAGCAACATGAAAACACTACAGTAGCCGTATAACTATACACACGGGGACGGGAGGAGGCTTAACAATACCTACAATTCTCATTCATCAAATACGGTACTCCGGAAGTGATGCATTTGGTCGATTTCATTGAACAATACAGAGGTGGGCACATAACCTGTGCTCTGTCTGGATGTACAGATAGCCACAAATGTTTTGATTGGATGATGACAGTTGTCAGTAAGTAAGCTACACAACACACTTTACAGATCCTTACTGTCTCATCTCACTTCCGCAATTTCTTGTTTTCGGGCAATAACAAAATCCTGAAAATGTTTGTACCCGAATTGAAGCTAGTCAAGAGAACCTTAAGTAGCTTTGTCACACATTATATACAAAATACATATATTATTGACATTAAATTACGTTCAGGTAAATTGGGATACAACAGAGTAAACACACTCTTGGTAATCGAAGTATAGAGCCTGGATAAGACAATCACCAGTTAAGTACCACCAACAGTCCATCACCAACGTATCCTCCATCGTCCAATCTCTAGAGAGTTCCAGAGTTCCAATCCCACAAGTATGGAACAATAATTGCACTTATGGAGTAGTTCATTGTACCCTGTTGAATTCCTTGTCAGATTGTCACAGAAGTATGGCATCTCAACATGGCAAGAAGAACCTATATATGAAGGCGGATCCTTTGGGCAGTTTATTTGGTATCCACAAATGCCTCTGTTCTCTTACTGGTGTTTGACTCACTGAAAAAAAGGTTTAGAACCCCAGTGTTCCTACATGTCACAATTAGAACCTCATTGATCTGAATATTATCAACGTAAGAGTCTCAAACATGAGGACAAGTAGCTATGTTCTGAACATCAATGTTCTTAACATCAATGTTCTGAATATCATTGTTCTGAACATCAATGTTCCTAACATCATGTTATTAATGCCAGTGTTCCGAAGATAAGTTAGAACCTCAGTGTTGCAAACACTGATTAAGTAAATTCATCATTCTGAACATTATTAGAGTAATACATCATTATTCTCAACATTAGTGTTGCAAACACAGTTCAAACCCCTCAACATTTAACAAAGTGTTCAGATCTCTAGTAGTATTATGAACAGTTCTAAACAGAATGCTCCTATCTCATTTACCCTAAGTAAATTATACACCTGCTCGTACATATCTGCTGATACACAATAACAATAACAAACAATTCTCCATGGGGAAGTGGAAAAGAATTTTTCTTCCATAAGCCATGGGTGTCGTAAGAGGCAACTAAGATGCCGAGAGCAAGGGACTAGTAACCCCTTCTCCTGTTTACATTACTAAATGTAAAATGAAAAACTTTCATTTCTTCTTTTTCAGGCTACCCTGCCTTGGTGGGAGACAGCTAGCGAGTTAAAATAATAATAAAAATAATCATAAGAACTGGAAAATGCGAGTTACTAATACGTATCAGATTTGATCCAGAGGGATGGCATCTCCAATTCCTTGGATCAAAAGCTCTTCACCAGCCTCCAGATACCTCCTTTCCCCTCACTTTCTTTAAAGGATCCACAAAATTATTCAAATAATTATTCCTAATTCTCATTTATTCATTAAGAGATTATAATAACGAAGGCTATTTACCAAAACGATCGACTCTATTTAACGCACATTTTTGTAAATGCAAATGAAAGCTCGAAATACACTTTTTCTTAAAGGGGTGGAGGGGTAAGCCAGTGGAAGGCCTCAGTCAGATGACCAAAAGCTCCAGCTGTGGGTCATCTAAAACCCACATCAGGAAACACTTACCCTGCTTCCTGATAAACCATACCTTGCCTAACCTTACCTAACCTAACCTTATCTGACTGAATTTACAAGAAATGCTAGAGAGATTTTACACAAGCAAATTTTCATTACAGAATTGTTAACTAGTCATAAAAAGAGTCTACAAAAAAAATTTTGGCCTGTACCAATAATTTTTTTTACAATACTATCAATAATACCTTCCATGCTGCACCATTGTTTCAAGAATCAACTAATTCATACTGAGGTTAGACACACAATAGGCAGATATTATGTGGATACACTGTATAATAAAGTGTAACATGGATTAAAGATTCTTTTTTTAATAAAAATGTGTCTAATCACACCTAGGTAGTAGGTTGGTAGACAGCAACCGCCCAGGGAGGTACTACCGTCCTGTCAAGTGAGTGTAAAACGAAAGCCTGTAATTGTTTTACATGATGGTAGGATTGCTGGTGTCTTTTGTCTGTCTCATAAACATGCAAGATTTCAGGTACGTCTTGCTACTTCTACTTACACTTAGGTCACACTACACATAGATGTACAAGCATATATATACACACCCCTCTGGGTTTTCTGCTATTTTCTTTCTAGTTCTTGTTCTTGTTTATTTCCTCTTATCTCCATGGGGAAGTGGAACAGAATTCTTCCTCCGTAAGCCATGCGTGTTGTAAAAGGTGACTGAAATGCCGAGAGCAAGAGGCTAGTAACCCCTTCTCCTGTATATATTACTAAATTTGAAAGGAGAAACTTGGTACATTGAAAGAAGAAGAAGAGTGTCTGATCACACTGCATTGTTGCCCTGGTCTATGTGAAAATTTAGGCCTAGTTTTGAACGATTGGATCGAGCCTATCCTGTGTAGGCAATATTAAGAGAGATCTACTGTAAATATTAAGAGATCTACTGTAAATATTAAGAGATCTACTGTAAATATTACGAGAGATCTACTGAAAATATTACGAGAGATCTACTGTAAATATTGAGAGAGACCTACTGTAAATATTATATGTATTGCACACTGAAGGGCAGTATCTTTCACACTAGTTGAAGAAGAACTTTGCATCCACAACTTACACTCATTGTCCCACTTTAACCCTTTGAGGGTCGACAGGCCCTCTCCGAGACTCGTTCTCAGGGTCGGCCAAATTTAAAAAAAAAAAATAATTTTCTCTTATGAAAAGATAGAGAATCTTTTCCCGATCATAATGACACCAAAAGTTTGAAATTTGATGGAAAACTTACGGAATTATGCTCTCGCGAAGTTAGCGGTCTCGGCGATGTTTATGCATCGGCAATCTTGCCCACTTTGAGCCCCATTTTCGGCCAATTCCACTGTACTAGTTGACAAAAAACATGAATATTTCGCTAGAACTCCATTTTTTCTATCGAATGAGTGCAAGAAACCACCCATTTATCAATTTCAACTATCCAGTACAGTGGTCAGAATTTAGCAATTTTGCCAATTTCACACAAATTTCAAAAAATGCCAATTTCCGAATAGGGTCCAGAATAAACAAGAAAGACATTCTTGGCACTAAAATGACATTTTCTCTGTTCATTAGTCACGTCTCAAGGCCCCTCCTACATTCTTTTGCTTTCCACTTTGAATTTTTATTCTCACAAAAAATAGAAGATTTACTGTTATGCAGACTACTGCAGTAGTGTAAAAACTGGTATAAATAATATTGGCGTACTTGCGAAAGAATATTAGACTCACCAGTTGACGTGTATTGGACGCTTGGCATGATTTGTTTACTTTTGAACTTTGGTAAAAATTGAACATTTCTGCTACTTTGAGCTCAATTTCAAGGTACTTTTCATTGTAAAACCAGTCAAAATCATCTCTATTTCTGTAATATGTCTTCCATTCTATAAAATGAGACCAAGAAAACTAGAATACAACAATAAATACCATACGAAAATACAGTGCAAAGTCGCTGTTTTATTAAAAAAAAACGGTCAAAGTTTTTTTTTCTCATTATGCACTGTGTGCTGCAGGATTTTTTTTTATACTGTGCACACTGACCACATAGACCCCTTCTTTCATATGTAGGCCTACCAGCTTTCTCCCACTAGATTTGAGGGCGCTAGAATTTAGGCGTACTAGTACGTCAAAAACCCTGGGTCGTAAGCCGTACTAGTACGGCCGAAACCCTCAAAGGGTTAATTATTTATACAAAAAGTAACTTTTTTTTTAGACGAGTCTTCCAGGAGAAGCCATGACAGGCGATTTTAAAAAATGAACAATGACAAATAGTAAACCAACTGTAGAAGAAATGAGTGAAAAAAATGGAGTGAAAAATATCATCAGACTTTATAATTAATAAAAACACATATTTAACAGATAAGAATACAAGTCCTAGGTAGTAGGTTGGTAGACAGCAACCACCCAGGGAGGTACTACCATCCTGCCAAGTGAGCGTAAAACAGAAACCTGCAATTGTTTTACATAACGGTAGGATTGCTGGTGTCTTTTTTCTGTCTCATAAACATGCAAGATTTCAGGTATGTCTTGCTACTTCTTCTTACACTTAGGTCACACTAAAAATACATGTACAAGCATATATATATATCTTTCTTTCTTTCAACACACCGGCCGTATCCCACCGAGGCGGGGTGGCCCAAAAGGAAAAACGAAAGTTTCTCCTTTTACATTTAGTAATATATACAGGAGAAGAGGTTACTAGCCCCTTGCTCCCGGCATTTTAGTTGCCTCTTACAACACGCATGGCTTACGGAGGAAGAATTCTGTTCCACTTCCCCATGGAGATAAGAGGAAATAAACAAGAATAAGAACTAGAAAGAAAATAGAAGAAAACCCAGAGGGGTGTGTATATATGTGCTTGTACATGTATGTGTAGTGTGACCTAAGTGTAAGTAGAAGTAGCAAGACGTACCTGAAATCTTGCATGTTCATGAGACAGAAAAAGGGACACCAGCAATCCTACCATCATGTAAAACAATTACAGGCTTTCGTTTTACACTCACTTGGCAGGACGGTAGTACCTCCCTGGGCGGTTGCTGTCTACCAACCTACTACCTATAATATATATATATATATATATATATATACACACACACCCCTCTGGGTTTTCTTCTATTTTCTTACTAGTTCTTGTTCTTGTTTATTTCCTGTTATCTCCATGGGGAAGTGGATCAGAATTCTTCCTCCATAAGCCATGCGTGTTGTAAGAGGCGACTAAAATGCCAGGAGTAAGGGGCTAGTAACCCCTTCTCCTGTATATATTACTAAATGTAAAGGAGAAACTTTCGTTTTTCCTTTTGGGCCACCCTACCTCAGTGGGATACGCCGATGTATTGAAAGAAAAAGAGAAGAATACAAGTGACTTACATGCATTTTTCAATGTGAAATGAAATTTAATTGTAATAGTAAGTTAGATTAGTCTCAGATATGTACAAGCAGAGTCTGATGATAATAATAATAATAAACTCTAGAATCAATATCCTAAATTATATACTCAACATTTTTTAAATACGTATTAACATATTTGTTTATGTCGTGGTGTTCTGCCAGACACACACACACCAGCACACCTTCTTTGGATACCAAGGCAATGGGGACAAAAGGAAATGATCAGTAATGGGTGGAAATAACACTGAGACAGAGTTGAAGCCATGGCTTCAAACCCCACCTGTACCATGGTTTGAAGCCAAAATTTGGATCCGCCTCCATTAACCACAGTGACAACAGCTGCTTACATTACATAGAGGTGCCATGTATCACACTGAGATTGGAGTCTCCATATACTATTAAGGATAATCAAAATATTACTGAATATTGGATTGTAGGTACAAGTAGGTCAGGATATATCACTGGTTCATGAGCATTGCCGTGAGCTGGATCCCAGTACCGTACTCCTGACAACAGTGGAACACAAGACACACGTTTCGGAAGAAGCTCTTATCAGAATAATATTTTGCTTTCTGTAGAGTTTTGTCAAGATATGATAAGGCTCTACATAGAGCAAAACATTCTCCCAACAAAAACTTGTAGGTAAAAGACACGTGCGAGCTGATCAAGACATTAAGGAAAAGTTTCCTTAATAAATGTCTTGATCAGTGCAAACCTCTCTTTTATTTACAACCTGGACAGTACCACCACACCAGTTCCACTAAACACAAACTTCATCTGCTAATAAGACACACAAGGTGGTTTATGGCATTTTGTTGTTAAAAGATGTTTTGTCCACTTTGTTGGTTATGGCATTTTACTGAGAAAACGTTTCATACACCAGAGACTATCAACTGATAAAGTCCCTGGTGAATAAAACGTCTCAACAAAATACCACAAACTGCAGATTTTCTCTCTAATGAACAGTATTTGTTGGTATACAGACAAACAAAAACTTGTTCTGCAATGTATGTCTTGTGCACCACTGCCATGAGCAGCGTACAAAGGACAGTGTCTAAACATATGCTCTAACAAGGCAGGCCAACACCACCATCACTACCAAGACAATTCATCAGTGACTGCCAGAACAATTCACAGCCATAAATGAATCATCTCAACTGTATTAGAAAGCTCTGTTATAATTTATTTGGCTGGACATTGGTGGTGACCTAATACTGTACACCTCACAGGGATAAACTTACAATGGTGACAGTAAAAAAACAGTAGGATATTCATAATGACATTCACTATGAACGATTTTCATGCGTCTGATTTGTTTTTTGAGAGATGTTACTGGAAAAATAGCAACATTTATACATAATTGTACTTAATATGGTTACATTGTACCTCATATGCTGTTTTTTATTGTCTATTCAAATATGTTCTTCCCTGTAGAGAAACAACGAGTTGGTAATATATTCTAGCTTACTACATTAAGACGAAGGTTAGAGCAATGGAACAGGTCTGAATAATTTTTTCAGCCCTTAAAAAACCCCAGTATTATATATACTGTATATCATCACCATTGGGAAACTATAATGACAAAATAGAAATACCTCTTATGCTATTAAATACTTCTACATGGACGGGTTTGGAGGCTATTTGAAGCATATCAGAATATGAGAACCCGGATTCCAAAGCGTCTTTTTTTAAAATGAGCCGGATCACCATGGCACATTATGAACCAAAACAGATGATCTGATTGGTTGCTGAGTGGTTCATCGTCACTACAGGTTATCTTCCTGTAGCAGTTCAGAAAAGGGACTCTTAAGTGTCATGACCTATCGAGTTGACCTTCATGCTGACATTACAGTAGAAGGAGCAATATCGTCTGCTCTCACAGCAGGAGCAGCAATATCATCTGCCCTCACAGCAGAAGCAGCAATATCATCTGCCCTTACAGTATAAGAAGCAATATCGTCTGCTCTAACAGTAGAAGCAGCAATATCGTCTGCACTCACAGTAGAAGCAGTAATATTGTCTGCCCTCACAGTAGGAGCAATATCATCGAGGTTGTCTGCAAGCAACTAGAGCCTAAACTGGCCTCGAACCATGTCATAAAATTTCATATATTTTTTTCCTATTGTTTGATATGGGCTTAAGTTACTAATAAATCTCAATATCGCCAAATACTGACCCTTTATCACATCCAGTAGCTACTGGCTTAACACCCATTACCCCCACACTAGAGGTTGCACTATGTTGTTCCCACAATGCTCATTTTACTCTCTCATTAATTCATCTCCACAGAAAACCTCAAAAGAGCAGTGTGTGTTCAGCAATAATCACGTCATCTAGATTAAGTACAGTACCGTATAATGACAATAAATTTATGTATAGTGTTGAAACCACTTGACTGGAGTGTACGTTATACAATCAAAAGGTCCCCTATCCACCACTTGACTGGAATGTACATGATACAATCAAAACATCTGACTGGAATGTACGTGATACAATCGAAAGGTAACCTATCTGCCGCTCGATTCAGGGCTATTGTTAATAAAACACCCTCTCCCTCATTTCTGTATAAAGATTGTATCATGTGGAAATAATCTTTGATCTCACTAATGTAACCAAAACAGCCATACAGTGTGTCAAACAAAACCAGCCCATCCAACTCTGTCCCTTTTCTTCTTCTTCCAGTCTTCCTTAAACTCCCATAGAAAACTGATTAACATCTTACCCCTTCATATTTCTACTGTAATTAACTAACTTGCTGTATCTTCACTATCTCTATTCAGTTACTCCACAAAACATAAGATCATTGAGTTAGTTCAATAAAAGTCACACTTTTGAAATTGTACAATTTGTTCATTAGCTGCCTGTCTTATTGCACATATGATTGTAAAGAACAAAAAGGCACCGTACTGTGACTGGAACAATACACAAAAAAACCCTCACATAGGAGAGAGAGAAACTCATGATGACATTTCGATCAAACTTGGATCACTTACAAAGTCACAGTGTGACTTTGTAAATGATCCAAGTAGGACCGAAAATGTCATCTCAAGCTTCTCTCTCTCTCATGAATAGGATATCTGTGTACATATGATGTAGTTAACATCATAAGAAATCCTACTTAACAGTAAGTCTTCAAGCATTAGGATTAGTTCACCTGGAATGATTTGCATACTAGTGACTTCCTTTTATAACTACCAATGTTTTATTTCATGTAAACTACATTATTTTGTACTGCATAAAATAAGAATTTATATTTGTATTCTATTATTTTTTACTAATTTGCCATTGTTTCAGCAAGTGATGACAGTCACCAGACAAGCTCTAACTACATTCTGGAAGACCAGGAAACCAGCCATTACCAGCTCATTGGTAATATTAAAATTTATATATACTGATAACTTCCTTATAGCTAATCAACTCAGAATGAAAAGCCTTTGTGTAATTTAAAATTTCTGCGACATTTTACAGACAAGTAACTAAAGAGGAGAATGTAATGCACTTCAACCATATTTCCTAGGTAATTTACTTGGTATTTTAGCATACTATATGATGTTAACTTTAAGTGATTTTTAATGGCTTGAGAAAACTTTGGATAATGTCGTTCAGAATAAAGTATTTCATAAAATGATCTAATACTGTACATACTATACTGTACTTAATCTTCCATTTACTAATTTAATCCATAAATGATAAAATAAGTAATGAAAATTTTTTATGTATTAATATTTGATAAATGATGCAATAAGGATTGATCAAGAAAATTCTACTCTACTAAAAATTCATTTAAGATTTTTAAGAGGAAATTTTTGTATTAATTTTCCAAAGGCCAAAAAAAAAAAAAAAATTCTTCATAGAATGAGCCTTGATATGGCTGACTTGTTATTGCTTACACATGTGCATCTTTTCCAGAGGCAAATTCATTCAGCATTTTGTGAGAATGTTGAGCATTCTTGACCTTCAGAAACCTCCGTATGGGTCTCACTGACAGGATATACCCCAGGCAACTCGATACATTGTGGCAATCTTCCAACACATCGAGTTTCCATCTAAAAATTCCACTAAATTTCTCTTCGATTTATGGAATAATTGATATATGGGCAGATTGTCTTTTTTTTTAAAGATTAGAAAATATAAAATTAAGCATGAATTACCATGAGTAACATTAAAAGCGTCAATGGCTCTTTCTCACGATTTTAAAGAAATAGAATATTTACTTGTATTCATTATGAATAAGATAAGGTCGGTTATTCACAACTGAAATAACCAACAACGACAAGATCAGCACACATGAAAAATAAAAGGAATCATATATGAAGTATCAGAAAAATATATAGAAATGGTGAACTTAGCTGACACAGCCGAGTTTATAATGATTATCATCATATATTCCCATTTCTAGTTACCAAACTGATTAAAGCAATATTAGTAACAAAAAATAGAAATTGAACTATTATCCTAAATTACTATGTCATATATGTCTCAATCGTGGGCAGGTGGCACAGGTGCTGCTAGGTAGACTGTCTCACGGCTGATCTGCAGCTACAGGAGTGGGGTGGTGGGCGGCACCCTTCACTAATGGCAGTGGAAGGATATCAACTTCTGGGCTGGAAATGTCCCTGTGGGAATTCCTGGGGGAAGGACGTTTTTGAAGCGCTGCAGCTAAAGTGCTACGAGCTGCCAGAGCGGGGAAGGAGTAGAGGGTGTTGAAGGCCATGAAGCCCTGAGGTTGTATCAGTGGGGGTGTGGAAGCATCTTCTACCCTCTGCTGGTTCTGCTGCTCCACCACCAAGCCTTTGGTCAGACTCAGAAGGCTGGATGAAACTTGCCACGAGGTGTCACTACTTGGAAGGGGACTATTACTGCTACTGTTGCTGCTACTGGTGGTTGTCTTATTAGTAAGAGTTGTTTTCCCCCTAAGAAGGGCATCTAGAACACTCCCTTGATAGGGGGGGGTGACTGAGGGTTCCTTGGTCTGAGTGTTAAGTGCAGGTGAGATGGAACGCTCATGACTGGGTGGTGAGAGGGAACTGACACTACCGTGACTCTTCACCGCCGCCTCTTGGAACCGCCGAATCATCTGGGATGCATAGAAAGGGTCTTGCTGGTATGTGGAGAGAAAAGGTGGGACCATGGAGGCTCCATTCCAAAGACTGAATGGACTGGCTAAAATAGGAGTGGATGATATAGGGGATGGGGTGACTGAAGTGGAGGAGAGAGTGGTGGATGACAGGGGCGGGTAACCTGGATACGCCGTTGTATCCCCATCAACTCGCGCTTTCTTCATGACAGGTCGAATGGTAATGTTTTCTTCACTCTTAGAGCTTTCATCTCCTGTTAGATCAATAGCTGAGGTGGTATCTGCTTGGTTCCTAATTATGTCTGCTGTCTTTGTAGTGTCTGCAGGATTCCTTACAGGCTCTGCTGAATTTCTAGTATTTTCTTTCTTAACTTTATCCAGTGGAGAGGAGCAGCCAGAAGATATGTTCAGTTCCTTCTTATTCTTACCACGAGTGAGATGTCTTTCTTTCACTTTATATTCGAGGGTCGAGTGTGGTACGCCATAAAAGCTTCCAGCTCGGTGTACACTCATTTCACCACTTTGTACAGCTTGGACTGCTTTCAGAAGATTATCTCGGTCATAGTTTCTATACTTCCCTCGTTTTGGCCTCGAACCTTTACCCCCTGAAGGTGAAGAAGTGGATGAGCCTTTCTTTGCTGGGTCCCGTTTCTCTCCATTAAGTTTGGTATTGGAGTCCCCCTGCGAAGAGAATAACAAGGACTGCTGTAACTTCCTGCCAGAACCATTCCCAGATACTGTTTCTTTACCAAGTGGGAGATCACATCCTAATTTTTGCCCTATCATTTGAGCAATCATTTCTTTAAGGTTTGGACTGGGTAAAGAGGAGATCAGTGGCTGACTAGAATGGTTAGAATCTGTGGCTGTTGGTTCCGATTCTCCCTTCACGAGGCCATTACACGAGGGAGAGTAGGACGGGATAGTAAGGTCACAATTTTCACCCTTTAAACCATTTACAGCATGAATATCAACCGATCCATTTAATCTGGATTTGCTTCTTTGTAGTTCTTCGTTGTACCGTTCTTCAACTACCTTCTTTATAAAATCACTTAACTGGGGATAGAAAGAAATGCTACTAAGAATCTCAGTGGATACCTCCTTGTTGTCTTTATTGAGAGCAAGTTTGGGAATGTTCTCCATCAGATACTTGAGTGCAGACTCCACCACCTTCTTGTTGTCACCAGTACCCAGGCCTTTCCGACTCATTTCCTCCAGTTTCTCAGCCATCTTGTTTTTAAGGAGTGTCCTGAAGCACTCTGGTGATGCACTGATCTCATTGTCCGGGCTGGTTCCACTCTCACTGATCCCGTTGTGGAACTCTGAGAATGTCTTCGTGTCTGGCAGTATGGTGGAATTACTCTGTTCTGCCAGTTTTTTGTTTCGCTCCCGCTCCATTGCTAGTTTATAAACCTGAAAAAATAGGTCAATTTCTTTTATTCTAAATATACTGCAAATAAAATTATGATGACAAAGGTGAAAACAATTCTGGATTGTTTATAACAGTGAAGTTTTTAATATATCTATGCCAGTGAAATTATAATCTGATATAATATAATATTTAACCCAGAGAAAATATAATCTAATATTTGATATAACTTTAACTATTCTGTCAATTATTTGTAAAGGTTTGTATAATCTTAGATCTGCTCAAAGTACTTGGTATAACTTTGGGGCTTCTCCATGCATGACAAAATCTATGCTGATCAGACTATGTTAAAGATCTGTATTCATCTCAAAAAATAAAACTGCCTGTTATGTCTGTTTTTACAAAAGAATACAACAAACTCACGTTGAAGAAGAGAGAGTTGCAGTGCAACAAGTTCTTGTTGTGATGTTGCCATCTATGTAGCATGAAAAAGTTGTCAAAATGAAAGGTTCTTCTATGCCTCTCTCTCTTGTCCTACATTTGTCTCTTGTCCTACACCTGTCCCTATTGTTCTATACCTACCCATCTTGTTGTATACCTGTCTCTTATTCTACACCTGTCTCTCGTTTTATACCTGTCTCTCTTGTTGTATACCTGTCTCTTGTTCTACACCTGTCTCTTGTTCTACAAATGTTTCTCTTATTCTACACCTATCTCTCTTCTTCTACAACTATCTCTCTTGTTCTACAACTGTTTCTCTTATTCTACATGTCTCTCTTGTCCTACAACTCTTGTTATACAAGTCTCTTGTTTTACAAATGTTTCTCTTGTTCTACACCTGTCTCTCTTGTTCTACACTGTCTCTCCTGTGCTAAACTTATCTTGTTCTACACTCTCTCTTGTGCTACACCTGTCTCTTGTTTACACCTGTCTCGTACTATACTTCTCTCCCTTGTTCTACACCTGTCTCTCTTCTTCAATAACGTCTGCATTACACTCTGGTATCTACAGCAAACTGGTATCTCAATTACTTTGTTCCTGAGGGTGGAGCGAGGAATACCATAAATAACAGCAGCTCTCCTTGTTCCCAGCTTCCCACTCTGTATATCCCGCAGTGCTGCTTGAAGTTCCTCTTCCGTATACGACCGCTTGCTCATGTCACCCCGTCGCCGCCCTCTGCAAATCATGCCATCGTATAGGGTATGAAACACCGGTAAATTGATGAGTAGACACATGTGCAACACTGTGGTGTTGGGTAGCTTCCAATATAGGTTAGATTATTACACGAGTGAGACAGGGTAGGATCTGAGTGGGACTTGCATATGAGTAAGATATATGTGCAATACTGAGATATGATAAATGGTTTAAAAAACCGACAAACTGAAGAATGAAACATGCAACACGTGTTGCGCATTTCAATCTTCAACTTGTCGCTTTTCATAACCATTTATCACATCTGTCAGATACTGCAAAATGATGGGATCTTGATACAGAAACTCTTCAATACTTGTCCAACCTTTTGACGAAGGCCTACTTATATTAGTGGATGGTTCTACTGTGACCGCCGCCTCCTGCTTCCACTCATCTGACTACAGTATATAAGCCACTTCTCCCACCATATGCTGCACTTTCAAGAGTGATGGACTGAATACATCGATTCAAGGCTGAGGGACTGATTACCTCAAACTCCCCCTCTTCTCTTTACACCGTTCTTTGTATTGGACAGATGAAGCCACGGTGTGGCGAAACGTTTCTTCAGTAAAGACTGCCAAATGTCGCAGAATTGTCTCATTTTCAACTTGTCGTTTTCCAAACCACTTATTAGAACTGTTCTAAGAGGTTCAAGGGGTGACATTTTGATCATGTGTAGTAGTAGTTAGTTGTTAATAGTAGTTAGTAGTAGCAGCACCAGCACCAGCACCAGCAGCAGCAGCAGCAGCAGCAGCAGTAGTAGTAGTAGTAGTAGTAGTGGTGGTAGGGGTGGTGGTAGTAGTAGTAGTAGTAGTGGTAGTAGTAGTAGTGGTAATAGTAGTAGTAGTAGTAGTAATAGTAGTAGTAATAGTAGTAGTAATAGTAGTAGTAATAGTAGTATAGTAGTAGTAATAGTAGTAGTAGTAGTGGTAGGGGTGGTGGTAGTAGTAGTAGTAGTGGTAGTAGTAGTAGTGGTAGTAAGTAGTAGTAGTAGTAGTAGTAGTAGTAGTAGTAAGTAGTATAGTAGATAGTAGTAGTAGTAGTAGTGGTAGTAGTAGCAGTAGTAATAGTAGTAGTAGTAATAGTAGTGGTGGTAGGGGTGGTGGTAGTAGTAGTAGTAGTGGTAGTAGTAGTAGTGGTAACAGTAGTGGTGGTGGTGGTAGTAGTAGTGGTGGTGGTGGTAGTAGTAGTAGTAGTAGTAGTAGTAGTAGTAGTAGTAGTAGTAGTAGTAGTAGTAGTAGTAGTAGTAGTAGTAGTAGTACAAACAACTAATTACTTCCCAGATTACTAATTTTACTATTTTCATCAAGTTTTCAAATAACTGCTTACTAAAAACAAGTGAACATTCTAAACAGTGAGCAAAAGATCACTGATGTTCTTTTGTATACACTGTTTTGATTCCCTTCTTATTAAAGTTACGACTGAAGGTAACTATGAACCACAATACATTTACCAAGGTTAAAATATTTTTATACATTACATCCACACTAATAGCTAAGTGAATGATTTAATTAACAATAAAGATTACATCTCCACTAAAAGTTAGGTGTCCCGTAGCTCGACTGGTAGCGCACTCAGTTCACACAACAAGGTCCGTGTTTCGATCCCCTGTACGGGTGGAAACATTAGGACCTGTTTCTTTAAGACACCTGCTGTGCCTGTTCACCTGGCAGTAAAATACGTACCTGGGTGTTAGTCGACTGGTGTGGGTCGCATCCTGGGGATAAAACTGACCTAATTTGCCCGAAATGCTCTGCATAACAAGGGGCTTTTTAAGATAAGTGTGTATCACTGATGTCAGCTATGACTGTATATGTTGCATATATAAGTGTAAAAAAATATTATTATTATTAAGTAAATGATTTAATTAATATTTATAATTTCAATACCATCAATAAGAAAGTCAAGCTTCTACTGAATATAATTAACTGTTAGGGAAGATAAGTGACCAATAAAAGTTAAGTGTAAAGTCTTGATTACGAGAAGTACATTACCTGGTTGATGTGATCTTGGTATCAAGGGTTGTGAGAGGCTTGACTGTGTCATAGTGGAAGAGCGGACTGCTGCTGGTATTGGTGGTGTCAGCCATGGTTCCCAACTCGGGCTTGACCACACTTGTCACTTGAGATTTGGCACTCAGGTCCAGTGGCTGCTGCTCCTTATCCTCTGGCGTCATGTCTGGTTGCTCCTGCTGCTCCTGATGGCGTGTTTAAGCGCTTAGTTATGATTATAATAATGCTCCTGATGGGCGATATTACTGGTCAAACACATATGCCTATTTAAAACTGATCTCCTATGCTACTTGCTTTAAGAATTTATTAAGTACAGTGTATTCATCAAAGAGAAAATGGTAAACCTGTAGGGGTCATTCAGGACACATTACAGGATTACGACCCAATGGAAGTCAGTCTGACTTTTATCTTGGGTTGTCCTACTAGGTAATTTACACTGAGGATTAAGACACATGTGCAACAGCGTTTGGCCTACACAGTAGGCTTCTTCAGTCAAATTCAGAGACAGCAGTAATAGTAGTGAAATAAACATAATGTAATCAGTCCATCAACCTTGGAGAAAAAATATTTGAGGTGGTCAGTCCCTCAGCCTGACGAAGAGTTCGACTCCATGGTCTGGGACGATACCGTTCCAGACTATGGAGCTGAGCCTCTCTCCAGGCTGAGGGACTGACCACCTCATATCTTCAGAGTTGATGGACTGATAACATTATCTTCATTTCACTACTACACCTGCAGCCTCTGTATTAGGACTAAAGAAGCCTATTGTGTAGGCGAAACTTTTCAACAATAGATACCCAACTGCTGCACATGTGTCTTAATCATCAAACAAATTTCTGCCCAGGGTGAAATGTGCATGAAGACCACCAGAACAATATTTGTGCGAAACGAAGAAGGTTGGAGCCTTCTGCTGGTTACTGACCCGTTGTCTCCTCCTAGACAAATACAAAATATTACTTTGTGTGGTACAAAATAATGTAGTTTACATGTAATGAAATACTGATAGGCACAAAAATTTCGTTTTAGTATAGAGAATAAAAAGTTATTACAATATCGTGAGTGGAACAATGCCATGACTGGAACAATACCATGACTGGAACAATACCATGACTGGAACAATACACAAATAACCCGCACATGGAGAGAAAAGCTTATGACGACGTTTCGGTCCGACTTGGACCATTTACAAAGTCACACTGGCAGAAACGTGTACACAGTTACAGGTAGGTTGGGTAGGATCCGTCCTGGCCAACCTTACTGTACCAGGGTACCCTTTTCTGTCAGTGTGACTTTGTAAATGGTCAAAGTTGGACCGAAACGTCGTCGTAAGCTCCTCTCTCCATGTGAGGGTTATTTGTGCTAGAGGCGGGTGACCTTTAAATACGTCACTGCCTTTTTTCGGGTTATCCTAGATAATATATACTGTGCATGCTAATTGCACTTAAGAGTACCTGTGCCTAAATAAAATTATGAACTGAGATTCTAAAATGATAGTGAAGGGGAATGGGGAGGAGAGATGGTAGGGGGAGAGATGGTATGGGGAGAGAAGGGATGGGGAGGGGAGGAGAGTGGGTAGAAGGAAGGAAGGATAGAATTTAAAAGAGTAATCACTAACCTGATGTACTCTGGCTAGTTGATGGAGATGCGAGGAGACGATCCAAGGGAGGAGATGCGGGGGGAAATTCGCGGTGTATAGATCGAGGGGAAGGCGGGGGGCGACCTCCCCCCCGAGGACCCCCAGGGCACCGACACCCCTCACCACACCCCCCATGTATGGTCTGGCCACACAACCCCCGGAGACTGCTGACGAGGTGGGAGTGGACGGAGGGCGCGGGGTGGAGAGGTCCAGGGTGGTCTCTGTTGCCTCCTCGTCAGTGTGGTGGAGGTTGTGGGGTGTGTCAAGCCTGGGGTCCTCCAGTGGGGGTGCTGGTGTCACTGACCGTCTTGCTGGAGAACTTTCTGGCTGTGTCAGAGGCGTGTCCGCCTCCACTGATCCTTCCTCCTGTACAAATGTCAATCATCACATTACTACTACTGCTGCTAAAATATTTTATAATATAATTATATATATATATATATATATATATATATATATATATATATATATATATATATATATATATATATATATATATATATATATACACACACACACACACACACACACACACACACACACACACACACACACAACACACACACACACACATAAATCTAATGCAAATGGACGATTGCGTTAATCAAAGCGTTAAGACCGTGTGGGTCATCATGGTCAAGGAATGGAGGCTCGATCCTCCATCTAGCAACAGCGACACAAACTGCTGAAGTAACCAGGCTTCCTGGTACCAATAAAGCTCGAGTCAACTTTATTTATTTAGTTTTCCCTTTCTGCTATACAAGAAATATTCTTTGAAAATTAGAGCAGAAGTGTGTCAGGCTTCAAGAATGTAGTTCAGTGTGGATAACCGTGAAGGTTCTTAGGTTTACATATATTGGGTAAATGGTTACTAATAATAATAATCTTTATCTGTACACGTACATGATACAACTTATACAGACCATAGCTCACATCAATGACATACTACTATATAAAAATCCCCTTGTTTTGCAGAGCATTTCGGGCAAATTAATTCAAATTTTCAGGTCAGCTCTGTGGATCTGAACTCTTCTCCAGGCTGAGGGACTGATCATCTCAAATACTTTTTCTCCAAGGTTGATGGACTGATTACATCATCTTTATTTCATTACTTCTTCCTTTATATTTGACTGACGAAGCCTACTGTGTAGGCGAAACGTTTCATAAATAAAGATACCCAACTGCTGCACATGTGTCTTAATCTTCAACATCAGGTTTAATAACAATCATCTCAGCTAAGTCAACCAATAGAGAGATGACAAAGAAAACTTCCAGCCTGTACCTACTATAAATATGGTTGACCTCACAGAGACCAGAGGCCTAGCTTCTCCCTACGAGCCCCATGAGGGCAGGGAATGGGGCTAGGCCTGGGGACAGTTGGTCCCGGATGATGAGGAGGTACTTGTACCTCCTCCCATGGCAGACATAGGCCTCAAGACACTCCCAAGACAGGGAGCCAGGGCCGGGTCACCATCTGGAAAAGACCCAGGCCGAGATGATACGGTCGCTGGCAAAACAAGAAGGTTCCTGGATTCTAGGGAATAATAACCAAATAAAATATCTCGTCCAATAACTCGCTATCATGTACAGAGATCAATGAACATTTACAATGCCATATTGGCATCAGGCTATATCCCAGTACTCCTCAAAACAACAAAAATGGTTCTTGACACACTCAACGAAGAACACGAAGCCACTATCGGACCATCTTTCTCCTAGAAATCACTAGATTGGTTTTTTTGTTGTTACTAGATTGGTTGGTAGCGTACTCTGCAAACAAATTTAGTGTCCGTGGTTCGATCCCCCGGTAAGGATTGTAACACTGGCCGTGTTTCCTTAAGATACCTGCTGGCCCTGTTCACCGAGCAGTAAGTAGGTACCCGAGTGTTATCTGACTGCTGTGGGTCGCATCCTGGGGGAGGGGACAAGATGACCCTAAGTTGCCAGAGTTGCCTATAGTTACAGTATGTCACTGATGTCAGCTATGGTTTGTATAAGTTGTATCATGTACCTGCAGAAATAAAGATTATATTATTATTTTTATTATCACACTGGCCGATTCTCACCAAGGCAGGGTGGCCCGAAAAAGAAAAACTTTCACCATCATTCACTCCATCACTGTCTTGATTACATTAATATCATTATTATATACCGACAACTAACGACTTATCCTTCTCCTAGAAATCACTAGACATATTTATTTTATATTCTTATCCAAGTTCCTGAGTTCCACCATCTTCTCACCCAACAGCAGTTTGATTTTAGAAAGCAAAGAGCAACCCAACACACAAGCAACATTATTCACGAGGTAAAGAGACATAGGTAAACACTTAGCACACTTTATTATGTTAGGTAAGACACATATGCAACAGTTAGGTATCTTTATTATGAAACGTTTCGCCTACACAGTAGGCTTCTTCAGTCAAGTACTTGACTGAAGAAGCCTACTGTGTAGGCGAAACGTTTCATAATAAAGATACCTAACTGTTGCATATGTGTCTTACCTAACAACCTGTCGGTATTTTATACCATTTTAATGTTCACACTTTATTATGAACACTTTTCGGTCCTTTCTCACACGAGTCGTGATAAAACACAGGCTTATACAAGGAATGACACGTGTATTACTTCCTCTATGAACCTGATTTTACACTCCAGGTTTTCACCGTCTTTAATACTGTTGATAACCTAGGCAAGCAGGATAATCTTACAGATATTGTGTAGGATTACATATATATATTACACGTGCAAAACAATCACAGGGGAAGTTGAATGATAGCTCTAGGCCTTTCGTGTTGAAATCAATACATCAGGAGGTTGCATTGTTGCAGAAAAGAGAAGATCCAAGCAAATTCGATCACAAGGAACGCTCTTGCCGGAGTGTGTGGCCTACAGCTATCATTCAACTCCCCCCCCCTCCCCCGTTTTTTTTCCAGTTTCTATCTCTTGTTCGCGATATTTGCGCAACATACTATACGTATACTTGTATATACTGTATATGTATACATTCGGCAGTGTCTAGCATGATGGCCTTATGTTCAAACTAGCTGACCTTCCCGACCACAAATGAACATTCCTGAGTGATGTACCATTTCCTGAACAACAGAAGCATCGTAACTTTCCTGAAGTACAAAACAGTGGACGAGCTCACATCTACAGCTGGAGTACCCCAGGACTTTTTCCTGAATCCATTACCGTTCATACCTACAGCTGGATTACCCCAGGACTCTTGCCTGAGTCCATTACTGTTCAACATCTATGCTAGCAACCTCCCCAAAATGAGCTCCGGGATAATATAACACTTTGCTGACGACATAATATATGCAGTGGTCTTCAATTCAGCAGATAACGAAAGCTAATCCGAGAAGATTATTGGGAAAAAAAAAAACATGAAAGAGTAACTGCAGAAGACTGCTAAGTAGGAAACGAAATGGAGAATTACCACCAACCCTGATAAAGTACAAACGAGCAAAATCAATTCTTAACCAACGATGATTAAAAAGAATGAAAGAATAAGAATCAGATTCTTCAAGACTATGGCGCTCATCACTGGCTCCTAGGCTGAAGGACTGATTCCTCATCTTCCACCAGCTGCTGTATATATTTATATTATGTCCATGTATGGTGTTGATAAAGCCACTGGATGGTGAAACGTCTACATGTAAAGACACCCAGATGTTGCACATGTGTCTAATTCATCAATAACGATCATACTCTTAACAACTAGAGTACCAACATCGTCTTGGGTTAAGAAGGTGACAGACTACTGAAGTCCACCAACCACGTCACTGACAAAAGTCCGTCTCTACCTACTACATTGATCAACACAGGTCCCAACCTACATCAAGAAGCATCTCCATAAGATGATTATTCACGTATTTAATATCAACGTATACCCCTGTTATTGACAACAAAATATATCATGTTCAAACTGCAGTCTCTCCACTACCTGCCTGAATTAGTCAGACTGGAGGACCTTCAATTATAAACACCATTAACGTCAGACTCAGTAAGATCAAGAAGAGCCACAGTATGACCGATGATGTAAACCTTGGTAATTAATACCGACAAATTGGTAAAGTACCACCTACCTAACACAGGTAATGGACATGTGTCTAGGACAAAATGGTAACTAACAGGAATCACACGACTTCATTGTTCACCTGACCTCGTCTCAAATGTCATTTGTCAGGTCACTAGGCGTCAATCACACCCCACTCTCCTATATATACCGTCATTTCAATCATTGGTATATGGAGAGACTGCTAGCGCACTCAGCTCACAAACTGTGGTCGTTGGGTTGATCCCCGGTACGGCTGGAAACATTAGGACGTGTTTCCTTAAGACACCTGTTGTCCCTGTTCACTCATCAGTAAAATAGATATTTGGGTGTTAGTAGACTGGTGTGAGTCGCATCCTGGGACAAAACTGACCTAATTTGCCTGAAATGCTCTACATAACAAGCGGCTGTCTATATAGTAGTATGTCATTGATGTCAGCTAGGACTGTATACGTTGTACATGTACTTGTAGAAATAAAGATTATTATCATTACTATTATCTATGTAAAAAGTGATCAAGGTCCCAGGACCGAAGCGTTTTCTAATAAATACGTCCTAGAATTTGTTCACGTGTCTTCTTATACCAGAAAGAACGATCTCCGCATTTACCTGACAGAGAAAACTCACCCCAGATGACTAACAACGTCAACTGCACACACCCTTCGAGAGAGAGAGAGAGAGAGAGAGAGAGAGAGAGAGAGAGAGAGAGGAGAGAGAGAGAGAGAGAGAGAGAGAGAGAGAGAGAGAGAGAGAGAGAGAGAGCTGATGTAGGTAACAGCTCTTAGCTTGCCAATAAAGTTAGGAATCCTTAACCTGTAAATAGCTTGTCAATAAAGCTAAGGATCCTTAACCTTGTCAAACCCTGTGTAAAGAGAGAGAGAGAGAGAGAGAGAGAGAGAGAGAGAGAGAGAGAGAGAGAGAGAGAGAGAGAGAGAGAGAGAGACGGTATATTCACAAGGATGAGTTCCCACGCCAAGGATACATAGTTGTTTACCAGGAAAGACTAAGAACTCTTGATGGCTCATCCAGTCCACGTAAAAAAAAAATTATAAATCCATCACTGTCGTGATACCTTCGAACACCAGAACGTTACGAAGAACAACGAGTGCAGAACACCAAGTTGTGAACCACCTGTGAACCCTCACCAAGCTGTGAACCACCTGTGTACCCCACCAAATAGTGAACCACCTGTGAACCCTCACCAAGTAGCGAACCATCTTTGTACCCCGCCAAGTAGTGAACCATCTGTGTACCCTCACAACTCTACTAAAGAGAGAGTACTTGCGTATTTGTGGCTGCAGGGGTCGATTCACAGCTCCTGGCCCTGCCTCTTTCCTGGTTTTGTGTGTGTGTGTGTGTAATCACCTATTTGTAGTTGCAAGGGTCGAGTCATAGCTCCTGCCCCCGCCTGTTCACTGATTGCTACTAGGTCCTCTCTCTCCCTGCTCCATGAGCTTTACCAAACCTCGTCTTAAAACTATGTATGGTTCCCGCTTCCACTACGTCACTTTCTAGGTTATTCCACTGCCTGACAACTCTATGACTGAAGAAATACTTCCTATCATCCCTTAGACTCATCTGAGTCTTCAACTTCCAATTGTGACCTCTTGTTTCTGTGTCCCATCTCTGGAACATCCTGTCTTTGCCCACCTTGTCTATTCCGCGCAGTATTTTATGAGTTATAATGTCCTCCAGTGTAGTCAGGCCAATTTCCCTTAACCTTTCATTATTGGGCAATTTCCTTAGCTCTGGGACTAGTCTTGTTGCAAACCTTTGCACTTTCTCTAATTTACTGACGTGCTTGACCAGGTGTGTGTATACCGTATGTGTGTGTATGTGCACACACATTCCCACATACAGGTGTACGTGATCTGAGTCCACACCTTATATAGCACATTTTCACGTCAACTATAAAGCACACGTACGCTATCACGGATGTGTCAAAAGTGGATGGACCCGTCTTCCTCTCTACCCAAAGCTACACAGACCCTATCCATGCTTATCCTTCACGGTGCCAACGCCATCTAAGACGCCTCAGTGCTGGAAATTTCATACACTTCAAATATACATTTATCTGAAGTGTTCTGACTTACTGCCTCTGTTTTAAAGTGACTGACAACCTTCTATCAAGGCTAAGGGACTGATTACCTTAAAATTACCCGTCCAATTCGATCCCAAAACCGATACGTCTTTAATAATGGTGTTCTGTGTGTGCATTTGTGTTTGTTTCCCTCTACATTTCATTCACTATTTTGCAGTGTGTTGCAATAAAAAATACTGTATAAAGAATGCTGAATAGTTCCGGGAACCAACCAGTGGAACGTTACTGCAGCATGAGACAGAGACGGCCATGTCTGGGGACACAGCTCAGTGCCGTCTCCCGAAATTTTTAATTTAACCCTTAAACGGTCCAAACAGATCGACGTTCAAATTCGTATTGCTACAAAAGTAGATCTACTTTTTTTATATATTTTCAAATATAACAAAAAAAATGTAGATAAAAGTTTTTTTACACGTTTTCAAATGTAAAACAAAAAAGAAGATTTACATACGTTCAGATGTTGAAAAAACGTATATATACGTTTGGACCATTTAAGGGTTAATATGTTTATTATGTACCCCATACCCATCCTGTGGGCGGTAGTCAAAGAATTACAGAGGTACATAATGGGTCCAGGGACTGGGCCCCAAAGTTTCGATAGCTGAACAAATTACAAAGTAATGAACTCCAGGTAGATGCCTTTCCCCAAACAAGTAAGGTTTAATTAGAGGTTCGGTAAGTTGGGGAAGGAAGTAGGTAGAGATGGAATGTGGAGGAGGGGGTAGATGGGGGTGAGAAGAGGAGGTAAAAAAAAAAGGTAAGTGTCCCAGCTACTTTGACGTATGTTAATATAAATCTGTGTGTGTACTGTGTTATGCATAATAATCAGATGATCGTGTATACTACACCATCAGAGATACACTTGTATACGAGATTCTATGACAGTGAATTGGTGATGGTAGGTATATTTGAATGAATAGAATGAGGAGTGAGAATCAGTGTGGACACATACTACCACACGTGATGAATTAAACACCTGTGCAACGCCTGGGTATCTTTATTATGGAAACGTTTCGCCAGGCAGTGGCTTTTTTCAGTCCAGTGCAGAGAGAGAAAGTCACTGGCTGGCGAAACGTCTCCACAATAAAGATACCCAAGCGTAGCACAAAGGTCTAATTCATCAACCTGTCGATTCTCTGAGCCATTTGTCTACACTCCCACACGTCTACAACACCCACTAAGTTACAGCAGAGGTACTTGAAGTGTGGGTGCATGCACCACACAGGTTACAGCAAGGGTACACGAAGTGTGGGTGCATGCTCCACACAGATTATAGTAGGGGTACACGAATTGTGGGTGCATGCTCCACACAGGTTACAGCAGGGGTACACGAAGTGTGGGTGCATGCTCCACACAGATTACAGTAGGGGTACACGAAGTGTGGGTGCATGCTCCACACAGGTTTCAGTAGGGGTACACGAAGTGTGGGTGCATGCTCCACACAGGTTACAGCAGGGGTACACGAAGTGTGGGTGCATGCTCCACACAGGTTACAGCAGGGGTACACGAAGTGTGGGTGCATGCTCCACACAGATTACAGTAGGGGTACACGAAGTGTGGGTGCATGCTCCACACAGGTTTCAGTAGGGGTACACGAAGTGTGGATGCATGCTCCACACAGGTTACAGCAGGGGTACACGAAGTGTGGGTGCATGCTCCACACAGGTTACAGCAGGGGTACACAAAGTGTGGGTGCATACTCCACACAGATTACAGTAGGGGTACACGAAGTGTGGGTGCATGCTCCACACAGGTTACAGCAGGGGTACACGAAGTGTGGGTGCATGCTCCACACAGATTACAGTAGGGGTACACGAAGTGTGGGTGCATGCTCCACACAGGTTACAGCAGGGGTACACGAAGTGTGGGTGCATGCTCCACACAGGTTACAGCAGGGGTACACGAAGTGTGGGTGCAGGCACCACACAGGTTACAGAAGAGGCAATGAGGATGCTACGTCTAAATGATTCTGGGAATTATCATCCCCGCGAATCTGACACACCGGACCTCCCAGAATTTAAAACTAATAACAAGCACGTAATACGCTGAATATAAGTTTAAGTTTGTAAGACTTTTGGTATTCGGAAAAAAAAAAGTCACAGACAATAAGTCACAATTTTGGCTGGAAAAAAAGTCACATTTTATTTAGGTTAGGTTAGGTTGTGACTTTTTTCCTCTGACTTTTTTTATCCTGGATCCGAATATACGTAGTCGTTTGTAAGATTTACATCTCATCTTACGTGTTTACGAGACAGAAAGAAGAGACGGTCAATCCTGCCAGAGTGCAAAATACAGGATTGTAGATGAATGGTTCGGAGAACCAACAAGTTGATAACTTAGACACATGTGCAACACTTGAGTATCTTTATTGAGGAAATGTTTCGCCACACAGTGGCTTCATCAGTAGAGTACAAAGAAGAATGGCTGCAGATCAGAAGTTTGAGGTAATCAGTCCCTCAGCCTGGAGACGACTTCATCGCGTACATCAACTCCAAGACGAGTCGAACCTTAACCATTCTTCTTCGTTTTGGACTGATACAGCCACTGTGTGGCGAAACGTTTCCACAATAAAAATACCCAAGTGTTGCACATGTGTCTAATTTATCAAAATAAAGGATTTTGAGGTTTCCATTTCAATATGAAAGTAGGACAGTAGCTCTCTGGATGCTGCCTCTCTAACATCCTACCAACTTACACAGCACACGTACTATGTACTACACTCTGTACACGAGGAGTGTACCCTCACACCACCTCATTTAAATACCTCAGAAAATAAAGGAATTTATACACATTATTGCTAGTATATAGTAATAAGGTTAATGAGGGGACAAGTGAGGAGGGTTTAATGCCTATCAACTAGGCTAAGATCATTAAGGATGCACCTGACCTTTTCACCACCAGACAAGAATACTTTAATCCCCTGAGACAGAGTTTAAAATATACTTGGTATTTAAACGCTTATGAGAAATACACCTGTGTTTATATATATATATATATATATATATATATATATATATATATATATTATATATATATATATATATATATATACACACACACACACACACACACACACACACACACACACACACACACACACACACAAACAACCAAGGGGGAGTTGAATGATACTTCTAGGCCTTTCGTGTTGCAATCAACACATCAGGAGCTTGCTATGTTGCAGAAAGTAGGAGAAGGTCCAAGTAGATACGATCACAAGGAACGACCTTCCAACTTGACAACTTTGGCAATTTTGAAAAAAATAATGGCGTTGAAAGTTCTAAATTTCGTATATTTTCAAAACGAAAAGTGGCTGGGTACTGGTAGGTAAGTGGCTGGGGAGAGGCAAGTGACTGGGGAATGGAAGGTAAGTGGCTGGGGAATGAGTAAGTGGTTAGGGAATAGGAGGAAAGTTGGTGGAGAATGGGTAGTATTAACAGGTAAGTGGCTGGGCAATGGGTACTCAGTGGCTGGGTAATGGTTAATGACTGAGTAATGAGTACCTGGGGAATAGGAAGTATTAACAGGTAAGTGGTTGGAGAGTGGGAGGCAAGTGGCTGGGTACTGGGTAGTAACAGAGTAAAGCACCAGAAGTGTGACATACCAGGGTGGTTGTGGCGGTGGTGGTGGTGTGGCTGGCTCCCTGGCAGACGAAGCAGGGGGTGGCAGGGTCCCAGTCGTGAGGGTGGTCATGTTGCTGCAGGGACCCTGCACCTGATGGGCTCCCGGGGTCGGGGTACAGGTCTGATCGCACCTTCAGCCACGCAGACTCACCCATCAGTTCCTCCAAGACACGTTCCAGACCTGTAATATGTGCAACACAACTGAATCAAACACCTGTACTGCACACGTGCAAGGAAATACACGTGACTTGTTTACATCCCCCTTCCCCGTCCCTAGGGTTCCAGACTTAATGAATGACACCCTGTATGATTCCAGACTTAATGAATGGCACCCTGTATGAATCCAGACTTAATGAATGACACCCTGTATGATTCCAGACTTAATGAATGACACCCTGTATGATTCCAGACTTAATGTACACACTGTACGATACTCTATTAAGGCACGGGTTCACACAAGTACAATTATCACATATAGCAACACGTGAGGGCCTTGTAGAAGCAAAACAGTGAAGAGAAACGTTCCAAAAACAGGCTTTCACTGGGACAATATTTTGCCCTTCTCCTACCAGAACTTGACATCGTCAGCGAGAACCTCAATAACAGAGGGCGTTGAGAAGCAGTCCTGGTTACGACTATGGATACAATTACCCAGAGGAATAATAACAGCCATCAGACTATCACTAGAATAGTAACAACTATCAGATTATCAGTAGAATGGTAACATAAGACTATCACTAGAATAGTAACAACTATCAGACTAACATGCTAGTACATATCAGCCTTCATGTCCCCAGGTCCTGAGTTAGGTTAAGTTAGATTAGGCTAAGTTAGGTGAGGACAGGCTAGTTGAGGCTAGGTTAGGTTACATTATGTGAGGTTAGGTTAGGTACACCTCACCAGGGTATTGCTGGTATTGATGGTGGTTGTTGATCAACCAGGGTATTGCTGGTAGTGATGGTGGTTGTTGATCAACCAGGGTATTGCTGGTAGTGATGGTGGTTGTTGATCAACCAGGGTATTGCTGGTAGTGATGGTGGTTGTTAATCAACCAGGGTATTGCTGGTAGTGATGGTGGTTGTTGATCAACCAGGGTATTGCTGGTAGTGATGGTGGGTGTTGATCAACCAGAGTATTGCTGGTAGTGATGGTGGTTGTTGATCAACCAGGGTATTGCTGGTAGTGATGGTGGTTGTTGATCAACCAGGGTATTGCTGGTAGTGATGGTGGTTGTTGATCAATCAGGGTGTTGCTGGTAGTGCCTATATCCTGAAATATCTGCAGTGTAAACACAGGGGGGAGGGTAATACCCCTATTACTTGCGATGGAGGGGGAGGGGTGCAAAGGGAAGTGGTGAGGGGCCAAAGAAGCTAGAGGGGAAGGGGGGTGTTAGGTGTTGTGGGGTTAAGGGGGTGTCAAAGGTAGGGGGGAAACGGGAGTTAGGAGTTGTCGGGGTAGGGGGTGTCAAAGGTAGAGAGGGGGAAGGGGTGTTAGGTGTTGTGGGGTGAAGGGAGGGGGGGTCGGCCAGGGCCAGAGGCCGTGGTTGCTACGGGAATGATGCCTGTCAATACTACACATCCTGTGCTCCCCCTCCCCCTCTTTCACCCCTCCTCGTCCCCTATCACCCCATCCCCCGCTTCCCCCTCCCCCTTCCCTATAAGATTCGCCAGACAAGTCCCAGTCCAGGGTCATGTCCATGAGGTGACCCAGCCTAGTCCATCAACATTCCACCCCCCCATCATTCCTCACCCCCTCCCTCCAATATCACATCACAAAACCCTCCACTAAATCTCCCCTCATCCATTAGCAAAGCTCCCCCTCCCTCTCCATCCCCGCTCTTATCCCTATTTCCTCCCTTCCCTTTCCATCCCTCCCTTCCCATTCCCCTCTCTTCCCTTAACATTCCCATCCCCTCTCCCATCTAATCCCTCCCTTTCCCTTCCCATCTCATCCCCTCTCTCCCTCACCCAACCATTTCCCACCCGCTTCCTACACAACCACCCCCACCCCTCACTCCCCCCTCCCCTCGCGGAAAAGATCCCCACTACCAACCCCGTTTCCATCCCCCTCCCCTCTCCACGGCTTCCTACCGTGGACAAAACCCCGTTAAACAGAACAAGGAAAGCACTCCCACTCACCCTTCCAAAATAAGATGAGACCCAGGGAGAGGGAGCCAGGGAGAGGGAACCAGGGAGAGGGAACCAGGGAGAGGGAGCCAGGGAGAGGGAGGCGGGGAGAGGGAGCCAGGGAGAGGGAGCCAGGGAGAGGGAGCCAGGGAGAGGGAACCAGGGAGAGGGAGCCAGGGAGAGGGAACCAGGGAGAGGGAACCAGGGAAAGTAAGCCAGGGAGAGGGAACCAGGGAGAGGGAGCCAGGGAGAGGGAACCAGGGAGAGGGAGCCAGGGAGAGGGAACTAGGGAGAGGGAGCCAGGGAGAGGGAACTAGGGAGAGGGAGCCAGGGAGAGGGAACCAGGGAGAGGGAGCCAGGGAGAGGGAACCAGGGAAGAGGGAGCCAGGGAGAGGGGCCAGGGAGAGGGAGCCAGGGAGAGGGAACTAGGGAGAGGGAGCCAGGGAGAGGGAACTAGGGAGAGGGAGCCAGGGAGAGGGAACCAGGGAGAGGGAGCCAGGGAGAGGGGGCCAGGGAGAGGGAACCAGGGAGAGGGAGTCTGGTAGCCAGGGAGAGTGGCACTGTTAGTGCTACTCTGCTTGTGATTCTCTGACCCAGACTATCTGAAGCCTCTATCACCCTCTCTCCCCTCACCTGTTGGACCCCTCACCCTCTCTCCCCTCACCTGCTGGACCTCTCATTCTCTCTCCCCTCAACCTACTGGACCCCTCACCTGCTGGACCTCTCATTCTCTCTCCCCTCAACCTGCTGGACCCCTCACCTGCTGGACCCCTCACCCTCTCTCCCCTCAACCTGCTGGACCCCTCACTCTCCCCTCACCTGCTGGAACCCTCACTCTCTCTCCCTCAACCTGCTGGACCCCTCACCCTCTCTCCCCTACCTGCTGGACCCCTCACTCTCTCTCCCCTCAACCTACTGTACCCCTCACTCTCTCTCCCCTCAACCTACTGTATCCCTCACCTGCTGGACCCCTCACTCTCCCTCAATCTGCTGGACCCCTCACTGCTGGACCCCTCACCCTCTCTCCCCTCAACCTGCTGGACCTCTCACCCTCTCTCCCCTCAACCTGCTGGACCCCTCACCTGTTGGACCCCTCACTCTCTCTCCCCTCAACCTGCTGGACTCCTCACCTGCTGGACCCCTAACTCTCTCTCCCTCACTGCTGGACCCCTCACTCTCTCTCCCCTCACCTGCTGGACCCCTCACTCTCTCTCCCCTCAATCTGGTGGACCCCTCACTCCCTCCCCTCACCTGCTGGACCCCTAACCTCTCTCCCCTCACCATGCTGGACCCCTAAACTCTCTCTCCCCTGACCTGCTGGACCCCTAACTCTCTCTCCCCTCACCTGCTGGACCCCTAACTCTCTCTCCCCTCACCTGCTGGACCCCTAACTCTCTCTCCCCTCACCTGCTGGACCCCTAACTCTCTCTCCCTCCACCTGCTGGACCCCTCACTCTCTCTCCCCTCACCTGCTGGACCCCTCACTCTCTCTCCCCTAAAACCTGCTGAACCACTCACTCCCTCCCTCCCTGCTGGACCCCTAATCTCTCTCTCCCCTCACCTGCTGGACCCCTAACTCTCTCTCCCCTCACCTGCTGGACCCCTAACTCTCTCTCCCCTCACCTGCTGGACCCCTAACTCTCCCTCCCCTCACCTGATGGACCCCCTAATTCTCTTTCCTCACCTGGCCCAGGGGGTAGGAAAACCTAGCCCAGGGGGGTAGGAAAACCTGACCCGGGGGTAGGAAAACCTGACCCAGGGGGTAGGAAAACCTGACCCAGGGGGTAGGAAAACCTGGCCCAGGGGGTAGGAAAACCTGGCCCAGGGGTAGGAAAACCTGGCCCAGGGGGTAGGAAAACCTGACCCAGGGGGTAGGAAAACCTGGCCCAGGGGGTAGGAAAACCTGGCCCAGGGGTAGGAAAACCTGGCCCAGGGGGTAGGAAAACCTGACCCAGGGGGTAGGAAAACCTGACCCAGGGGGTAGGAAAACCTGACCCAGGGGATAGGAAAACCTGACCCAGGGGATAGGAAAACCTGACCCTGGGGGTAAGAAAACCTGACCCAGGGGGTATGAAAACCTGACCCTGGGGGTAAGAAAACCTGACCCAGGGGATAGGAAAACCTGACCCAGGGGATAGGAAAACCTGACCCAGGGGATAGGAAAACCTGACCCTGGGGGTAAGAAAACCAGGGGATAAGAAAACCTGACCCAGGGGGTATGAAAACCTGACCCTGGGGGTAAGAAAACCTGACCCAGGGGGTAGGAAAACCTGACCCAGGGGGTAGGAAAACCTGACCCAGGGGGTAGGAAAACCTGGCCCAGGGGGTAGGAAAACCTGACCCAGGGGGTAGGAAAACCTGGTCCAGGGGGTAGGAAAACCTGACCCAGGGGGTAGGAAAACCTGACCCTGGGGGTAAGAAAACCTGACCCAGGGGGTAGGAAAATCTGACTCAGGGGGTAGGAAAACTCTGTTCACCTGACACATGTTGCACACCCTAGAATTTGCAAAGAAATTCCACAGATGTTCAATGGAACACAAGGGGTATTTGTTTCAGTGTTGCCAGTGTGATCTGTTACAATATTCCAGGAAGTGTGTTTGGGTTTCAATGAGCATTACAGAGCAGTCTTCTAAATACTAATAAGTGCTGTCTACTACTGGTTGATGTTTCTGAGTCCTGTCTACTGTTGGCTGATGTTTCTGAGTCCTGTCTACTGTTGGCTGATGTTTCTGAGTCCTGTCTACTGTTGGCTGATGTTTCTGAGTCCTGTCTACTGTTGGCTGATGTTTCTGAGTCCTGTCTACTGTTGGCTGATGTTTCTGAGTCCTGTCTACTGTTGGCTGATGTTTCTGAGTTCCGTCTACTGTTGGCTGATGTCTGGTTGATGTTTCTGAGTCCTGTCTGTTGGTTGTTTCTAAGTGCCGTCTACTTTTGTCGTCAACGCTGATGCCAGGCATAAATCCCACATGTGAGGTATGGGTTATATGAGAGAAAAATAATTTATAGATTGATGGAACGTAAGAGTGAAGTTTTTAGTCTCGTCAGTCTTGTATAT